AAATACAAATAGATTTCCTAAATTGTTTTCCTTTTTCTTTTTTTATTTCACTTTATTTTACTTTCCTTGTCTTCCTTTCAGTTTCCACAGTTTTAATGGTTTTCTTCAACCTTTTTCTTGTAGTTTCAAAATTTCCTCACTATGCTTTAAAATTACTTCCTCAACTGGTGATGGGTGTGATGTTGAAAATAGGTGCTGAGAAAACATTAAAGGCCCTCCCGTTGATCATCGATTTGCTCGAGCGGGCCCAGTAACGTCTCCATTGGAGACTTTGTTGTTACTGTGTTTGGCATATTGAATACGTCACGGGGAGCTTGCCAGGCTCTGCCGTGTGGGCGAGATACTCTCGGTAGCTTGCCGAGCTCTCCAAGAGGGGCAGAGGAATCGAACTCGGGTCAGCCATATTGGCTGCGTGCAAGGCAAACGCCCTACCACTGTGCTATTGCTCCAGCCCTGAGAAAACATTATTAACATATAAACATTTATAGAATTATAAAACACAGAATCACTTAATCACTTAATCACTTAACTTCCCGTTAGTCGTCGATTTGCTCGAGTGGGCGCCAGTAACGTCTCCCTTTGTCCCTGTCGCGTGCTAGTGTAGCCCAATGGCATCTGTTTGCTCTGGGATCATGAAGAGCCTCAAACCGATTTTTCATGATCTTCACGAAGAAGTCTGACCATTTGGTAGGTGGGCAGCCACGTGGTCTTTTGACATCCCGTGGAATCCAGTCAGTAACAGCTCTAGTCCAGCGGTCGTCTTTAAATCTCATTACGTGACCAGCCCATCTGATTGTTGACACCTTGGCAAATGAGACAGCGACCCTGATTATTGATCATCCACGGATGTTGGAACTCTGGATTTTTTCTCTCATTTGAGTGAAACGTGATATTCCAAGCATAGCTCTTTCTATTCTTCTTTGGGAGACCTGAATAGCATTCTCATCCTGTTTGCGTAGGGCCCAGGTCTCTGAGGCATATATGTTAATGCAGGAAGAACAGTGGAATCAAAGAGATGTGCCCAGAGGCCAGAGGTTTTCGATGTTCTTGAAGGCGTTCCAAGCCGCTCTCTTCCTCCTGCGCAGCTCGGGTGCCAGGTCATTTGTCATGTTGACTTCTCGACCTAGGTACACATAGCTGTTGCACTTGGAGATGGTCGTTCCGTTGAGAGCGAATGGGGCATCAGGAACGAGCCTGTTTCTCATAAACATTGTCTTCGTAAGATTCAGCTGTAGTCCTACCTTTCCGCACTCATGGTCAAAGTCGGCCAGCATTTGTGCCGCTTGGCTGATGTTTGGTGTTATTAAAACTATGTCATCAGCAAAGTGGACGTGGTGCAATTGCCAACCATCTATCTTCACTCCCATTCCTTCCCATTCCAGTCGTTGCATGATGTTCTCGAGGGTGGCACTGAAGAGTTTCGGTGAAATGGTATCACCCTACCGAACCCCTCTCCTGACATCAACGATCACTTCTTTGTAGAATGGTGAGATCCTGGTAATGAATCCGCAATACAGCTCACGGAGGATCTTGATGTATTGGGCTTGAATGCCCTGATTGGCTAGGGCTTCAATGACCGCTTCTGTCTCAACAGAATCAAAGGCCTTCTTTAAATCAATGAACGTTAAACAGAGTGGCATCTTGAACTCCCAAGAAACCTCAATGAGCTTGGTTATTGTGTGGATATGGTCCATGGTGCTGAATCCTTTGTGTAAGCCTGCTTGCTCGCATGGTTGTCCTTCATCTAGTGTTCTGCCAATCCTATTTTGGATGACTCGAGTGAACAACTTGTAGACGACAGACAATAGGCAGATTGGGCGATAGTTGCCAATGTCATGGATGTCTCCCTTCTTGAACAGTAGTACGGTCCTGCTGGTTTTCCACTGGGACGGAACCTTGCATTTAGACAGGTAGCGAGTGAAGAGCCAAGCCAGTGTATTGATTGATGAGTACTGATGGCACGTTCTTCAGGTGTTCAGGTCTCACCTTGTCTGGGTCGGGTGCTGTTTGTTTCTTTACCGACGAAATGGCGTGTCGGATTTCGGAAGGGAGAACGTTGGGAACGACATATGCATCCTGTGAAATTTGGTATGTCGGCAAGTTGATATGGCTATCGAAGAGATTTGAGTAGAAGTCATGGATAATCTTCTCCATTGTAGTTCTGGAGGATGTGATGGATCCATCAGGACGTCGGAGGGCAGTCATCTTGGTCTTGTAGTTGGCGAAGGACAGGCAGGCGTAACAAATACTTTTCCCAGCTTCTGCCGCATCTACCAGTACTTCTGCTCTTCTCTCTTTGAGGTCTTCCTTGATCGCATCTCTGCACTGCTTTGCGAGCTCGGACGTTAGCTTGCGGTTGCCTGAGGCATGTGCCAAACCACGCTGGTGAATTAGCTCAAGAGTTTTCTAAGACGGGCATTTTTCTGTGGCTATCTCTCTCTTGGCGTTCCTCGCACATTCATGGAGTTGCTGAACCAGTCGATCATATTCCTCGTCAATGTTGTCAACAATGGCATCTTCCCATGTTGCCACAATAGTGCCAAAGAGTTCCCAGTTGGTGGTCATTCTGGGAGTTCTCTTTTTGAACTTTGCAGCCCTTTCTCCCCGCTCTGTGAAGTAGAATTTTGCTCGACACTACCTCCACTACCCAGCTGTCACCACACTTCAGGATGTTGTCTGGACCCGCGCGGCCGCAAAGCGGTCGCGCGACACATGATAAGGCACTAAATACCCATCTTCAGGAATTGTCGTACCACATTTGATAGTGTTCAAATATGGTAACACCTACAAGGGTGATTAGAGGTCGCCCCAAAAGCCTCTATCCCTCTCGGAAAAACTGGCAAGCTACCGAGAGTATTCCGCCTGCACGGAAGAGCCTGGCAAGCTATCCGTTGTATATTCGATATGCCAAAATCCGTAACTACAACTGGTCTCATTCACCTGACCCTGAAGGCTTCACCGACATGGCAGCACTGAGAAGGATGAGAAAGGAGAGGCCGACAAAATCTCAAGGCCAACGTAGGCTGCCACAACGAAGGAAGACAAAAATGATCGTCTGTACTTTCTTTTTATTTATTTATTTATTTTTTTACAGTTGTAGATTTACAATTTTTTTTGTGTTTGGGTTTCAATTATACAATGATCAGATACCCATCTCGTCTGTACTTTCAATGCACGTACGCTAGCACCAGATGCATCCATCGAGGACCTGATGGTATAAGCGTGAATGATCAAGTACGACATCATTGGTCTGACCGAGACAAGAAGGCACGAATCTCACCATGCCGTTTTCGACACTGGAGAAGAATTGTTCCTCGGAACATGCGATAAAAGAGGTGTCGGAGGCGTCAGTGTCCTTGTCAACACAGACTTGGCCAAGAGCATTGATTCATTCGAATGCCTAACAACCTGAATCGGACGTTTACATTTGAATAGATGTGGCTCACTGCCTACAGTTTCTATCTTCGTTGTCTACTCACCAACATCTCATTATGATGAAAGAGAAATTGAGAAGTTCTACATGGAGCTGGAGAAGTTCTATAAAGAAGACCACACCTTCTACAAGATCATTGTGGGTGATTTTAATGCCAAGATAGGACCGAGAAGATCATCTGAAGAACTTTACATCGGGACCTATGGCCTAGAATGGAACGAACAGGGTGAGAGACTGTCTGGGTTCATCATGTCGACCAAGACCATCCATGGTAACTCACAGTTCCCGAAGGCAGAATCTAAACTTTGGACATAAGAGTCTCCCGGTGGTTGATTCCACAACAAAATAGACCACATCATATTCAATCGACGGTTTTGCCTGACTGATGTCGCTGTTGTCCCAAAATTTCGAACGGGATCAGACCACCGTATCCTTCGTGCAAAACACAGAATATCAATATTTTTTTAAAAGAATTACTTGGAAACTATTTTTTACAGATAAATTAAAGTAGGAATTGCTACTTGTTCTGTTTAAAAGAGGGTTTAACCACCTGGTGTTTCCTATGACTGTCTTAATTTTCCTCTACTATTCTTGGTTCCGATAGACATGAAATATTGTTAATGTTACTGGTGTTTCATTGTCTTCTGAAAATAATTGCATGTATATTTTGCTAAGTTAACAATAAATTGCAAGAAAATACATGTTTATATTTCAGGCAGAAATGTTACTACACCAATCGCCACATAAAGTTCCAATATCCCACCACTACTGTCAATGTGTATTTTATGATTGCTTTCCTTCTTCCTTTCATCTTAAGTGCACATCATATTTCAATGATTAGATTATTCCTGAATTTCTGTTAATTTTTGTTGGGATTTCTTGAGTCAACCCTTTATTTTCCAAGTATGAATGTAGACATCTGTGTGTTGTTTAAATTACATTTTCATGTCAGTTTATATTTATGATCCTTTGTAGTGCCTTAAACAAATGCATTTATTATGTATATTCTATTTCTATAGAGAAACATTGAACATGAAGTGAGAAAGAAAATTAAAGCTTGTCTTCAGTCTATTTATTTTCTTCTTAAAAGCAAAACCATAGACTAAATCACTGTCACTGTCCTCCCGTTGTTCATCTATATTCTCGAGCAGGCCTAGTAACGTCTCCATTGGAGACTTTGTTGTTACTGTGTTTGGCATATTGAATACATCACGGGTAGCTTGCCAAGCTCTGCCGTGCGGGTGAGATACTCTCGGTAGCTTGCCAGGCTCTCCAAGAGGGGCAGAGGAATCGAACTCGGGCCGGCCATGTTGGCTGCATGCAAGGCAAACATCCTACCCGCTGTGCTATCGCTCCAGCCCTATAGACTAAATAAGCCCCTTTATTATTTTGTGGGAAAAATATATAATTTTAATTTAAACTTGTATTTATTTTCTTAAAATATTTTCTTTCTGCTTCTATGATATTTCAGAGTATTCATAAAATCACATATTTAAATAACAATTCTATATGGATATGTTTCTTTTCAATGAAAAATGTGCAGTTATATAAGAATTATGATAAATACCTTGGAATATACTCTCACATTGTGCATCCCCACTTACACACTGTCCGTGGTAACATATCCACTTATTAGCACTTCCACACGGTCGTCCATCATAATAATATATGTCTTCTGGGCAGTCAGGATGTGAACCATTACATACCTCCTTTACGTCACAGCTGGTATCAGCCGGCCTACATGTTTCTGTAGAAAACTGATGGATAGAGGTAAATTATATTGAATAAAGCAAAATTTTAACATAATACATGTAAATAATTGTCATGTTAATCACTAGGTAATATAAAACATTTTAAAGACCCTTACCTGACAATTTGAACAGCACAACCCAGAATCACAATCAGTACCTTCTTTCAGTTCACATTTGGTACCTTCACAGCAATTTTCAACTATCTGACTACATTCCTGGAAGGTAATTCATATGTTCTGAATTAGCATCAACTTCTATTTACATTGCATGAATACCTTCATGATAACAGCATACTATATAATAGACAAGTGCTTAACTTGTATGTTGGCAAACAGAAAAGATAAAGCTGCTCATTGATTTAACAGACAATTATTGATTGCATGCTATGTTCAGTCCATAAATTCTTAGATACTTAAAGCAATTTTGACAATAGTAGTAGTAGTATTTTCTAGAAAATCCCTTGAGCTTACTAAAGCCAAGATATCAAAAAGATATCTTTTTCTTACAGGCAAAAATAATATTAAATATAATAAATAACCAGAAGTTATAATTTAAGAATTTTGTAAACGTTTTTTGTTCTTAATAAATGTTTGTGAGTCAGTATTTTAATAAGTTTGTGCTTTCATTGAATATTCATTTGTAATTCTTTAAAGATGAGATATAAGCTGGCATTTCTGAAAATAACTGACGTTTACTAACATTTCATTATATTTTATTTTATAATCCAACTATGTTTGTGGCTTTGCTTTTTATATGTTGTTATTAAGCTCAATAAGATAAGGGAAAAGTTGAAAAGGTAGTACATTTTTTTCTCTCTCTCAAACCAAAATACATACTAACACATAAAATTCATCTACATATGTTTTTTTTTAATTCTAAAAGATTTTAAATTGGGGATAATGAGACAAAAATCTTTCTAAAAATTTCAGAGACATAACATCAGCAGTATTAATGTTAGTTGCATCATGATGTTAAGTAAAACATAGTACCTTTGTATTGTTCTCCAATAATAATTTTTTTTTGCTGAATCCTCATTATTATTACTATTGCTATCACCATCTTATAGTATTTTAGAGGGTAAAATTGTAACAGAAAATTTCTGGTAGTTATAAATTTAAATTGGTACCAAATTATACATTATTTTACACCCTCATTTAAACTCTAAGTTATATAAATATATTTTTCATAACAATCATTGCATCCAGTGGGAGCCATGGAATAATTCCTTAAAGGTACTTCACCCTTACCCATCACTTATAAGGAGTTAATATCCAAGAACATTAGTTATTGAGTTACTGAAGGAGTGCGTTGCTACACTTCAGTGCCTGCCCCGCCTCTCTCATTGCAGTCCTTTTTCTTTCTACATTTCTACCTTTCTTCACTACAGCAATTTTTTTATTGGCACGTAGGCCTCCAAGATAGTACTTAGTAAGTCTGAGGGCCCACAATCACCTATCAGTAGTTTAATAGCAAGCTCCTGAGAATGTGGTGTTGTTCAGATACCCACCCTCGCAGAAATGTTGGGACCATGTGATGCTGTGAATTGAACCTAGTCTGACTCATGCTAGGCATGTGCTTCAACTGCTGTGCTATCTCTCAGACTCTAGATTTATCTAAGACTTATACACGTTGAGGAAACTGACTTTGTGTATGGTTCAAATCCAAATAAAGGTGTGTATTTTAAATGGCAAAAGAACATAGGTTAAGACTACATCAATTAAAAAATAATAAAAAACATACTTGATGGGACGTATAGCCTAGGTCAGATAAATTGTAGGATTAGTGATCTTGAAAAACCTCCTAAATGGATAATCCACACACACACACACAGTTTGATAAAGTAGTGACGATGGCAAGGAGGTAATATAAAATAACTATTTGTGTTAAAATTTGGGCAAATACTTTTCAAGTTAGCACCAACCTCTGAAGACCCACAGTCACACTGTTCACCCTCTTCTTTTATTCCATTTCCACAAACCGGCGCATTTTCCACATATAATGGACTCAAACGTGGCTGATTTCGAAGACAGTTTGACTTTGGCATTGAAATAAAATGTGCAAAATCTTCCATGCTGCAGTTACTAAAGATCTTCACACCACTAGAATGACTAAAAACACATTGAACTTCAAATTTTAATATGCTTATTCCATAATCTGACTAGCCTTTGAAATATTTGGAAAAAATACTTTGAAAAACAGGATTTTATTTCATAACAGGATTTCATAATGAACAACATATTCTATTTTAGTAGTGTCATATTTTCACTTTCTGTGTATGGAAACTCAAACTATGTAAAATATTATAGACAATAAAATATTCATATGCAATAGGCTAGTAGGAATAAATAGTAATTGGTTTCACTTACAATGCTTGTACAACTCACTGCTATCTTTTGTAGATCTATGCAACAAAATATTACATATTTAATTTTTTGTTTTCCTTTTATAAACTTGTGTTTATGTTATAATACCTGTGTATTAAGCAAAGTTATTGAGTTCTCTTTATTAATAATTATTGTTTGATAATATGGTTTTATATTTTACAAAACATATATATAATATACATAACTAGTGTTTCTTTTACTCAAAATTTTCACCTGAATTCCAAAATACACTATTAATTTTTTTGTGTGTTACCAATGAGATAACATTTTTAAGCATGCAACTAGAACACCTCCTTATACTTTTTAAATAATAGAGGATAATTTTAAAATGTGACCATAATTTGATAATATGAATTTGAATTCAATAATATTATACTATGATGCAGAAGAGCAAAGCAACTGCACGGTGCCATGAAAGTGTCTGTGACCCTTGGCACCTGTTCTTGTTAACTTTGGTCCAGCTTTCCTTCCTTCCCATTCATCCCCTTGACATGTGCTGATTGACATTTTTGTTTTGTTTGTTTACTGTTACCTCCCTTAGTATCAGCATGTGCTTTACTTATATTCCCCTGTTACCTCCAGTCAACTTACTTATTCCCCACCCTCTCTTCCCCCAATCCAGCAGTCTCAGGTCTCCATCCAAGGTTTATTCTTTTGCTGTTGTCATCTTTGTTTTTTTAAGCCACAACTGGTGATGTTTAGAGATCACTTAGTGCTTAGGGCTGGAGCGATAGCACAGCGGGTAGGGCGTTCGCCTTACACGCGGCCAACATGGCCGACCCGAGTTCGATTCCTCCGCCCCTCTCGGATAGCCCGGCAAGCTACCGAGAGTATTCGATATGCCAGACACAGTAACAACAAAGTCTCCAATGGAGACGTTACTGGGCCCGCTCGAGCAAATCGATGATCAACGGGAGGGCCTTTACCTTTACCTTTACCTTTGGTGCTCAGGGACCAAGTATGGTATCATGAGTCAAACCAGGGTTGGCTCTTTGCATAATTCTTTTTTGTATGTATTTATTATGGGCTGGAGTGATAGCACAGCAGTAGGGCATTTGCCTTGCATGCAGCCAACATGGCCGACCCAAGTTCGATTCCTCCGTCCCTCTTGGAGAGCCCGGCAAGCTACCGAAAGTATCTCGCCCGCACGGCAGAGCTTGGCAAGCTACCCGTGAAGTATTCAATATGCCAAACACAGTAACAACAAGTATCACGATGGAGATGTTACTGGATCCGCTCGAGCAAAATCGATGAACAACGGGAGGACAATGGACAGTGATATGTATGTATTATAATTTTATAAGTTTCTATGTAATTACTTGCAAGAGAAGTACCTCTGAATAGATTTCTCAAAAATTAGAACCTGAGATTAAAACTTGATTACAAATATTTTAATTAAATGGTTTTGAACTTAGTGAAAGGAAAGTACTCATGTTTTATTGCTGTAGATATTAGAGGTTAATATTGACAATGAACTTTTTTTTTGAAGTTCTGTGGAAAGCAGAAATGTCTCTAATAGTCTATTAGAAAGAAAATTTACTGACTCTAGTATTAAGTAATCAACAGTTTCCATCAACACCTTAATTTTTTGGTCCTAATAAATTAAAAATCTCATAATGTATTCTAACAATAATGATAACAGGGACTGGAAGAGAGTACAATGATTAGGATGCATGCCTGGCATAAACTTGACCTGGGTTCAATTCCTGCCACCATATGGTCCTTCTAGCATCTCTAGGTGCTCAAAAATCTCCAAAAACTCTGGAAGCCCTCAGCACTATGAGGTGACCCAGGTTTTCCTAGCACAGTGGGACTGAGCAAGGAAGGACGGAAGGAAGGACGGAAGGAAGGAAGGAAGGAAGGAAGGAAGGAAGGAAGGAAGGAAGGAAGGAAGGAAGGAAGGAGGAGAGAGAGAGAGAAAGAAAGAGAGGAGGGGAAGAAAGAGAAAGAAAGAGAAAGAAAGAGAGAAAGAAAGAAATCAAAATAATGATAAAAACAAACTCATAACATCATTGAGGCATTATTAGGATACTCAAAAATTCCCATTCCACTGACAAAAGAAAAACTCAATAATATCCCTGAAACCTGGCATTAGAATCAGCATCTGATATCAAGACTTTAGAATAAGCCAGAAAAAAACATACAGCATTCATACAAACAAAAACATTATACATTCTTATAACCATCGTTATACAGTGAATAGAAAATTGTGTTTGGCATATCTAATTTTGTATTAAATTATAAATGCATGCATTTAGCAGTGGTACATGCAGATGCACGTGGTGGAATTAGAATAAATACTTTGATCTATGGGCCACAATCACAACCTTCTAAGTAGACTATTATGATTTTCTTAACATCTTAAACACCAGAAATAAAATTAATGTTTATATGAATATTTATGGGATAAATACAAAAATAAGGCTCTTACATTGCATCTGGATTCATTATGCAGACAGACTGTGAGCAGTGGCATTTCTTAATGTCATCATAAGCTATCCCCATGTTAAGGCTCAGTAATTGAGCTAGAATAACTGCTAGTGATTCTAGACTTAGGGATTTGGGGTGCTGGAAAGAAAGCAGACATTTTCATACATTTGAGGAGAGAATCAATTTATGCATAAAATTGTATTAATATTACACATTGTCACATGTTAAGATATAACAAAGACATCTGCTAGCTACATTAATGCCATTTGTGTTGACCAAAAATTTTATAGTTACAGGTATCAATATAAGAAAATATAAAGATCAGAACCATAGAGATAGTAAAATGGGTAAAGTCCTTGCCTTGCATGCAACTGACCTGGTTTTGAGCCCTAGTACCACAGAGGGTGTCTCAAGCCCTTAAGAGTGATTCCTGGACACAGAGCCAGGAGTAAGACCTGAGCACTGCTGGGGATTGCATAAAAATTAAAAAACAAAATAAAATAGAAAAAGTTAAATCTTAAATTTGTTTTCTGGCATCAGGTCAAGACAAAAATATGCTCTAGTAACTTAGCAATAAATAGTAATAATGATAGTTGTATGATAAATGATATGTATCCATACATTGTGGCATTAACAAGTTACATTTGCTTATAATTTAATGTTTAGTGATATTTCTTATGCTTTAAAAATGTTAGCTTTAATTTATATTATTGTATCACTATCATAAATCCCAAACAAGGTCTTCAGGCTGGTTTAGTTCTCCCTTCCCCCTGGGAGTACTGTCTCTTAAGTCATAATGGCTTGCATCATGATCATGCTTTTAGGCTTTCTGGACTGTCCCATTTGGATGCTGGGGTAGCTTTGCAGTTTACCCCGCGGGCATCCAAGTATCATGATTGTACCCCCCTCCCTTTTTTTTTGAGGTGTTAAGAACTATGGCAACCGATCTTTCTGACTCATTTCGCTTAGCATGATACTTTACATGTAGTACCACTTGTATGTAAATATCATGACTTATCTTTTCTAACAGCTGCATAGTACTCCATTGTGTAGATGTACCATTGTGTAGATGTACTCTTTAACCACACCGCAGAGTCTGGCAAACTCCCCATCGTGTACCCAATATGTCAAATACCAGTAACAATGATGGATCTCATTCTCCTAACCCTGAAAGAGCCTTTAATATGGCACTTTTTAAAAAATCTCAGGGCTAGGACGAAGGAGACATTATTGGGGCCTGCTCAAGGCAATCGACGAACAACAGGATGGTCGTGATCGTGATTGTGATTGTATCACTGTATCACTGTCATTCTCTTGTTCATCTATTTCCTCGAGCAGGCACCAGTAATGTCTCCTTCATCCTAGACCTGAGATTTCAGAAAGTGCCACATTCAAGGCTCTTTCAGGGTCAGGGGAATGAGACCCATCATTGTTACTGGGTTTTGGCATATCAAATACGCCACGGGGAGTTTGCCAGACTCTGCAGTGCAGGCAGGATACTCTTGGTAGCCAGCTGGGTTCTCCAAGAGTAAGAACTAGATAGTAAGATGTCGCACGGCCGCAAATTGATAATAAAAGGTGACTTTCCACAGTTATTAAAACTTGACTAATATAATTCAAATGCCCTCTCATTTTTATTTTCTAAATTATTTTTACTATAGCACATTTTGACTATGATAAAACATGTGAAGTTTAAGATTTAAACTTTATTTTAAACATATTTAATTCATCCATTCGTGTGTGTATATGTGCTTGTGTTTGTGTGTGACTATATTTTGTCTGTGAACAAATTAATCTCCACTTTTCTCAAATATGTTTTGCTATCAACTTGTCAGTTTTACCAAAAGTACAGCTAGCTAAGAGTTTGATTATGACTTCATTAACATATCTACATACCATGTAACAAATTTTAGCTTAAATGAAAGTGTTAACAAGTTTGCAATAGAAAAATATATATGTATAACAGTCATTAAATGTGCTAATAAGCAACTGTACCTCATGGTGCCTCACTATTAAAAAAAATTAAAAAAAATAAATAAAAGATTTGGAAAAAAAAAGCAAAAACAATCAGTGATAAGGAAAAAAATGTGCTAATAAGGATATTTAGACAGAGACTTTAAAAATTTGTCACTGTCACTGTCCTCCTGTTGTTTATTGATTTTCTCTAGTGGGCCCAGTAACGTCTCCATCGTGAGACTTGTTCTTACTGTGTTTGGCATATTGAATACATCACGGGTATTGCCAGGCTTTGCCATGCGGGTGAGATATTCTTCGTAGCTTGCCGGGCTCTCTGAGAGGGGTGGAGGTATCAAACTCGGGTCGACCGTGTAGGCCACGTGCAAGGCAAACGCCCTACCAATGTGCTATCTATCGCTCAAGTCCTTTAAAAGTTTATTGAGGTTAATTTTCTTTGAAATTCATAAAGGCAGGATTAAAAACATGGGCCTAGAGAGATATTACAGTGGGTAAGGTGCTTGCCTTGCATGCAGCTGATCCAGTTTGATTCCTGGTCTCCTGAGCACTGCTAGGAATCATTCCTGAGTGGAGAGCCAGAAGTAACTCTGAGCATTGGTGGGTATGGCTCCAAACCCACCAAATTATATATAGTATGCTTGAAAAATATGAAATTAGCATTGAATCAAGTTTCTTTACCTTAAACAGAGAATATCACAACCTGGAATAAACATAATAGTGTTAAATATTTCCTGCAATGAAGACTAACAATTAAGTTAAACAGTGTTCAGCTGTTTCATCTGAATGTTGTTCCCGAATTCCCAACCAATAAGGGAAAAAAATGCAAATATTTTATGGTCACCTGATCCTACCAGAAGTGATCTCTTAAATGCAAAGCCAGGAATAATCTCTGAGTACTGCCATGTGTGGCCCCAAAACAAACAATCACGGTCACGGTCCTCCCATTGTTCATCGATTTCCTCTAGCAGGTCCAGTAATGTCTCCATCATGAGACTTGTTGTTACTGTGTTTGGCATATCGAATACGCCATGGGGAGCTTGCCAGGTTTTGCCATGTGGGTGAGATACTCTCGGTAGCTTGCCGGGGCGGAGGAATCGAACTCGGGTTGCCATGTTGGCTGCATGCAAGGCAAACACCCTACTGCTGTGCTATCGCTCCAGCCCCCAATAAAACAATAAATAATAATAATAATAATAATAATAATAATAATAATGGGCTGGAGCTATAGCACAGCGGGTATGGCGTTTGCCTTACAAGCGGCCAACATGGCCGACCCGAGTTCGATTCCTCCGCCCCTCTCGGAGAGCCCCGCAAGCTACCGAGAATATCTCGCCCGCACGGCAGAGCCTGGCAAGCTCCCCGTGACGTATTCGATATGCCAGACACAGTAACAACAAAGTCTCCAATGGAGACGTTACTGGGCCCGCTCGAGCAAATCGACAATCAACGGGAGGGCCTTTACCTTTACCTTTTAATAATAATAATAATAATAATAATAATAATAATAATACAAGTGTTGGGGAAAAGGGGCCCTCATTCGCTGCTGTTCAGAATGGTGGCTGGTCCAACATTTTTGGAAAACACTATGACTACTTCTAGGAACTGTGAGTTTCTATATGAAACAGACATTCTACTTCTGGTATCTACCTCAGTGGTTCAAACACTTTTTAGAAAAAACACTTGCACTGATATGTTCATTTCAGTACTGTTCACAGTAGCCCGCTAGAGTAAATCGATGAACAACAGGATGACAGTGATACAGTGATACAGTGATGAATCTCCATGTTTTTTCCATCTAGACTGAACCAGATGATTTTCTACTAACAGTAGTTGTTTCCAGCTATTCTGATATACTCCATTCTCACTGGTATGAAATAATATATAATTGTCATTTTGATTTATATTCTTCTGATAACAAGTAACGATGAATGTTTTTATATGCCTACTAGCCATTAAATGCCATCTTAATGGAAGAGCCTATTTATGTATTCTCTAATTTTAATGAGATTACTGTGTTGTTATTGGTGAACTTTGTAAATGCTGTATATGTTTTGACTATTAGCTGTTTCTCTGACAATAATGCACAGTTTATTCCATTAATAAATGTTGCTTTTATTTGAGTCAAATATTCTTTTATCATGCAAAAATAGTGAATTTGACATTGTCCCAATAGCTTATTTTTGTTATCTTTGCCAGTGAAATCAAATCACAGAAGACATTTCTGAGATGAATGTCCTGGAAAGTTCTGCTTATGTTTGCCTCAATATGTTTTATGTATTCTTATCTAACCTCAAGATCTTTGAATTAACTTTTGTGAATTTTACAAAGTAAGCTTCTATTTTTTTTATATTTTCATGAGACTATCTTGTTTTTCCAACTGCATTTTTTGAAGAGTCTTGTCTTTCTCCACATATGAACCCAGAACTTTTGTCACAGGCTAATTGTATATCAATATGTGGTTTATTTCTGGGCTTCGATTCTACCACATTGGTTTATCTTTTGTCCAGCACCACATAATTTTTATTACTATAACTTTATAGTGTGACAGAAAAATATAAAGTATGTCAAATTTAATTTCAAAAGAGATTAAAAAATTCTTTAGAATTGATCTCTGGAACCTCATATGGTCTTCTGAAGCTTTGCCAGAAGTGATCCCTGAGCACAGAGCTAGAGCAAGCCTTTACCACCACCGCCTTGACCCCAAACAAACAAAAATTCTTCAGAAAAAACACTATCCAGATACAAATGATCAGGACCTATAGGACACAGCAAAAATATTAATAAAAGGCAAGTTCACTGAAATAAAGTATTATGTCAGGAAAAAAAAAATCAGTGACCTAGTCATACTGTTGTTACTGTGTCTGGCATATCGAATACTCTCGGTAGCTTGCCGGGCTCTCCAAGAGGGGCGGAGGAATCGAACTCTGGTCGGCCATGTTGGCCGCTTGTAAGGCGAACGCCCTACCCACTGTGCTATCGCTCCAGCCCAGTCATACAGTCTTGTAAACTAGAACAAATCAATCCCAAAGTAAGCAGAAGGAAATGAATAAAATTATAGTAGGCGTCTATTTCTACATAGAAATCAAAAAATATTTCACAGGGTAAATTAAATAAGGATATTGCTTTTCAAAAGACTAAACAAGATGGACAAGCTAGGCCCATGAGAAAAAAAAAAGAAGAAACTACCCAAATAGATTAGATATGAAAGGGGAAACTACAACATGAACTTCAGAACTATAAAAATTCGGAAGGGGTGACAAACAATTTTATGCCACAAAACTTGAGGAAGTAGGAGAATTGATGCATTTTTTGAACCATACAAACTTCTGACATTAAACCAGAACAGACCAATCATGAGTTTTTAAATTTAAACAAAAATTATAAGCCAGTATAAAATTAAACAACAAAATTTGGAAAGCTTTTTCTGAGATCAAATTTAGAAAAGAAAAACTTGCCCCACTATTGTTCAATATATTATTAAGTATAGCTTTGGAAGTCTTCAGCATAGAAATCACTCAGGAAAAATAAAGAAATTAAAACTGGAAAAGAAGTTAAACTTCAATTATTAGCAAATGACATGATTATATATATAGAAAACTAATAAATGTGAAGTATTTTGACTTAACAAAGCATGATAAAATTATGTATTCAAAACTACCAGTTCTTATTCAAATAAAAAGAGAATATCAGTATATTGAGAATACCAGTAACATATTCTATGCCGATAGATTTCAAGAATTTAAATGTTGTTAGAATGACCATTCTATCCAAAGCACTATACACATTAAACATGAACTTCATCAAATTCCTATGAAACTAAGTCTACTAAATTATAGAACTTCCTGAATAGCCAAAACAATTCCAAGAAAAAAAGTATTGTCTTTTCTGCCTTTAAGTTGTTTGAAATTCTTGCGTTATAACAGTCTAAATATTTTGTTCTCTGAAGTCTGTATTGTATAGAAATTGTATAGTGTCCTTTCTTTTTTAAAAATTTGATAATTCAGCATGAAATTAGATGAACTGGCAATGTAGCTGGTAATACTCCACATATAAAAACCATGAATAGAAAACTTGTGTAGTCCTTGTGTTTGAGTGGACTAGAGGCAGGACTGGTAAGTTCTAGAGGCAGGACTGGTAAGTGGGTAAGTTCCTACACTTGCAAAGAACCAAAACTTTATCGTTAGATCTTTCCTTGCTTCTACTCATCCTGAAGATATCTAGATTATCAATTAGAGGATTGTATTCTATAATTTTTACACTATAAACTATAAAAAAGTGTAGTAGTGAAAACAAATAATTTTATTTTTATATTTATAGATTTTATTTCAGAGTGCTGTTAGAGAAGATTATGAGCTTAAAAATCAAATGGGAAAGCAAGACTTGTTTTCTTTTGAATTTCCCACCGATTTGCATAGGTTACTGCTGATTTCTACCACAAATGGTCAGGAAGTGATTTTTTTTCCCTATTAAGTGCTGATAATAATAAGAATAGTATACAGAAAATAGTTACTGATTTTTACTCTCACTGCAGAAACCATTGTTCTTTGTTCATTGGCATACACTTTTAAGTAAGCAGTAGTTTCATTTTCTTCTCTGTAGTAGGCTATCTTTAGAAAGAGTGAACACTTCTCTACTTTTTTTTCCCTAAATGATGATTTTTCTACCTGTGAAAATCTCATGAATTTTAGTGTTGCAGTGGTAAATAAATCTCAAAAGAGAACAACAAAAAAATCTCAAAAGAGAGCAATGAAATGAACACCTCATGCTGCAGATATGTCTCCAGGTCCCCAAATCACCATCCAGTTAAAAAATTTAACTCTGGTTCTAGCACCCTATGCAAAAGTTTACAATTCCTGGAGCAACGTCTCATATGTTTTGCCACTGATACACCAGGATAGAACAATGCATTTGATGAGTGTAAGGTAGAAGACAACCAATCTTGATAAAAAAAGAAATATATCTATATATATTTCTTTTTTGCACATATATATGTGTATATCTATCAAACAAGATGTTAGTGATCTCCAATACAGAGGCTTAATGGTTCCAAGATAAGATATAACAATTTTCACACATTGTCCTGTAAGAAAATGTTTTTGAATCATTTTTAGTCAATTATTCATAACAAGTAATACAAGATAAATTATTTAGTATCTGCCTTTGGGGCAGGCTTGAGTGGTGGTAGGAAAATTTGAAATAATGGTGGTAGAAGGGTGTAATGGTTGTGGGATTGGTGTTGAAATATTGAATGTAATCAATTACTGTGAACAACTTTATGAAAATAAAATTTTAAAAATTTATGCTGTGAATATTTTGAAAGGGTAATAATAGTAATAATAAACATTATATCCAGCTAGATTATCACTCAGATTTGAAGAAGGAACTATTCAGAACTTCATGGACAGGCAATAGTTTAGGGAATTCATAGCCTTGAAACCAGTTTGTAAGATGCATTAAAAGGATTACTTTGAAGGACAGGAGAAACATCCTATCATGATGCATTGCGTATGACACTCACTCGTGATGCATATGTTAGTTCTCTGCTAGATTAAGAAACATAGTAAAAAAAAATCACAGTGTCTCAATATATGTTCCTGAAAAACATATAAAAATGAAATGTAATATTTTATAAGAGTAATATATGTAATATATGTAAACATGCACTGCACTGTCATTGTCCTCCCATCGTTTATCGATTTGCTCGAGCGGGTCCAGTAATATCTCCATTGTGAGACTTGTTGTTACTGTGTCTGGCATATCGAATACGTCACGGGGAGCTTGCCAGGCTTTGCTGTGCAGGCAAAGATTCTCTCAGTAGCTTGCCAGGCTCTCCGAGAGGGGCAGAGGAATTGAACCCGGGTTGGCCAGGTTGGCCGCATGCAAGGCAAACACCCTACCACTGTGCTATCGCTCCACATATATGCAATAAATTCACTGAAAAACGTGTAATTCTGACATTTCTACCAGTTGCAGGAACTAACAAAAATCCATGCAGTTATTACACATATTTTAACTCACTTATGAATAATATATAAACACATTTAATCTTATAACCTGTAATAACACTCTAAATAGCTAAAAGTAAGGCCCTAAAAGTAAAGGCCCTCCCGTTGATCGTCGATTTGCTCGAGCGGGCCCAGTAACGTCTCCCTTGGAGACTTTGTTGTTACTGTGTCTGGCATATCGAATACTCTCAGTAGCTTGCCAGGCTCTCCAAGAGGGGCGGAGGAATCGAACTCGGGTTGGCCATGCTGGCCGCTTGTAAGGCGAATGCCCTACCCGCGTAGGGCCTTTACCTAAATAGCTAAAGAAATTAAATTGTACCATACCAGTGCAACACCGCCTCCATATTGTCCATCACATATCTTTCCTTCAAAGGTTGCACCAACATAATCTGGCTTTTCTCTGTAACTTAAGTTTAAAGATAAACAATATAATGATAGATTTAATTAAAAATAATAAAATTAAGGAGCTGGAGAGATAGTATAGTGAGTAGGGCATTATTCTTGCATGCAGCAAACTTGGGTTCTATTCCCAGAATCCCAAATGGCCCCTTAGCATTGCCAGAACTGATGCTTTTTCAAAAGCAAGGAATAAGGCCTGAGTAGTACAGGGTGTGGCCAAAAATGAAATATATATGTATGTATGTATACATACATATATATATACTAAAATTTAAAATAGTTATGCATAACCAATATTTTCCTGAGAAAAGTTTTGTTTTGCAATATTACACTCCAAAGTCAAATTCATAAATGTTTTAATTTAATTGATATAACAAAGTAAAATTATTAACAATGATTTCTTGGGAGAGGGTCACACCCATCTGCTCAGGGGTTACTCGTGCCACTGCACTTAAGGATCATGACTGTAGGTACTTGGATGGCCATATGTGGTTCCCAAGTTCAAACTAGTTTTGGATGCACCTTACTATTTTCCCTAATCTGTTGGTCCTAAATAAATCTGGCTACTTTTAAAAATATTAAAGTAGCCAGGGGCATATATGATAATATTTAAATACTTTTATTGCAATCTATAATTCCCAGAGAGTGGTGGAGGAGAGAGAGAGAAAGACAGGGAGAGAGAGGTGGAGGTGGAGGTGGGTGGTAGTGGAGGGAAACTGGGGATATTGGTGGTAGAAAATCTATATATATATATATACATTTATATACATATATATGTGACGGGATGGGTGTTGGAACACTGTATGACTGAAACTCAATCATGAATAACGTAACTGTGTATCTCATGGTGATTCAATAAAAAATATGAAAAATATGATTGACTAAAATAGCTGTACTATGAAATAATATTTGCATTAATGTCATATATGTCATACATGCAAAATGTTTACTAGATAATTTTTCTAATGTTTTAAAATTATCTAAAATTGAGTCACTTTAATAGCTTAGGAAGTAAGCTTAATAATGGCAAGATATGCTTACACAAGTAAAAAGGCCACATCATGTGGACGCAGAACAAGGTAAGATTTTTTCCATTTTAAAAATCTGTGCATTAACTCATTAGCATCTCCACCTACTGGAATTTTGTTTTCATCTATCCAAAGCTCCACTGAAGATAGCAGTATTGTGAGATTAAATGAAGTAAATATCTAAAATAGAATAAATACAAAAATATATTCGAATATCATGTTTAGATATGGTTAGGAATTTATCAATTAATACAAAAGCATACTGTTTATAAAATTAAACATCTGAAGCTAATTTTGGACTGAATCTCACAAAACAAGTTAGTAATTTAAAAACATTACATATAAAACAGGTAATAATATTTTGAAAATCTTACAGTTAATCAGCCTTATGTCAAGTGCTTTAATTTCATTCCAACAATTAAATTAAGATATAAAAATTATTATCAAGAGGTATAACTGATGCAATGATTTACTTATGGTTTATTTCTTTATGTTCTAAAAAGGCATATCCAGAGGTTCAGGTCATTGAGAGTTCCATAGCTCTAGATGAGACCTAGCCAATGATTATACATCAATAACCAACACAAACTACAGTATAGGGCCCACTTGAGGTGTTTCCTGACTGAGCACATTAAACAGAAAGGGGAGAGAAGTGCTTGAGAGCTTCATCTAAGGTGAGAATGACTGATGAAAGTCAGTATTGGGGACGAGTGTTGGGAAAGAATTGTGTATTATAGAATATTTTCTGTTTTTCTTCTTGCTAGGACTCCAGTCTATGTGGAACATACCAATAAATTTATGGGTACACTGGCATTGAAGTCATGTTCTTCCAAATCATTTCTGTTCAGGACCTATGTTTGGTTCAACAGTCCTTTCATTTGTCATTTCAACAAATGGTACCAGAAAACTGTATAGACTTCCACATGCAAAGTATCAAGACTAGACCACTATCTAACACCAAAAATTGTTAAGACAACGTTGAAAGAAATCAAGACCAAAAAATAGAGGAACTTATCGCATGTTGTTATAAACAAGATAAATAAACCACTAGCAAGATTCACAAAAGAGAGAGAGAGAACCCCAAAAAAAACCGAATCAGAAATGAGAAGGGGGATATCACAACAGAAACCAAAGAAGTTCAAAAGATCTTCAGAGACTACTTTGAAAGTCTGTATGCCATGAAACAAGAAATCTAGAAGAAATGGATAAATTCCTGGATTCCTATAATCTCCCAAGGCTGAATCAAGAAGATCTAGAATACCTGAGTAGTCCTATTACTATCAAGAAAATTGAAACTGTAATCAAAAGTCTTCCCAAAAACAAAAGCCCAGGTCTAGATGAACTCACTACCAAATTTTTCCAAACATTTAAAGAGAACATATTGCCAGTTCTTCTCAAACTTTTCCTGGAAATTGAAGAAACAGAAAATCTCCCAGTTTCTATGAAGCTCATATCTCCCTAATACCGAAAGGAAACAAAGACACCATAAGAAAAGAAAACTACAGGCCGATATCCCTGATGAACATGGATGCAAAGATTCTCAACAAAATAATAGCAAATAGAATTCAACAACTCATCAAAAAGATCATACACCATGACCAATTGGGATTCATCACGGGGATGCAACAATGGTTTAACATTCGGAAATCAATTAAACATAATTCATCATATCAACAAAAGAAAAGATAAAAACCGTATGATCATATCATTAGGTGCAGAGAAAACATTTTACAAGTTCCAGCACCCATTTATGATGAAAACCCTCACCAAAATGGGTATAGGAGGGACTTTCCTCAAAATAGTTAAAGCCATCTACCACAAGCCTACAGCAAGCATCATCCTCAATGGGGAAAATCTAAGAACCTTCCCTCTAAGATCAGGGAGAAGACAAGGATGCCCACTCTCTCCACTGCTGTTCAATATAGTACTGGAAGTACTTGCAATAGTGGATAGGCAAGAAAAAGATATTAAGGGCTTTCAGGTAGGAAACAAAGAAATCAAGCTCCCGCTATTTGCAGATGATATGATACTACAGAACTCTAAAACCTCCACAAAGAAACTCCTAGAAACAGTAGACTTGTATAGTAAAGTTACAGGCTTTAAAATCAATACGCAAAACTCCATGGCTTTCCTATACTCAAATAATGAGAGAGAAGAAATTGACATGAAAAAAAAAAAACAATCCTTTCACAATTGTACTCCAGAAAATCAAATACCTAGGAATCAGCGTAACTAATGACATAAAAGACCTGAACAAAGAAAACTACAAAACGCTACTTCAGGAAATGAAAGAGGACATGAGGAAACGGAAAGGTATCCCCTACTCAAGGATCGGGAGAATTAACATAGCACAGCGGTAGGGTGTTCGCCTTACAAGCGGCCAACATGGCCGACCCAAGTTCGATTCCTCCGCCCCTCTCGGAGAGCCCGGCAAGCTACCGAGAGTATTCGATATGCCAAACACAGTAACAACAAAGTCTCCAATGGAGACGTTACTGGGCCTGCTCGAGCAAATCGACGATCAACGGGAGGGCCTTTATCTTTACCTTACCTTTTAAAATTGCAATACTCCCCAAAGAATTGTACAAAATCAATGTGATCCCTATAATGACCCATGACATTCTTCAAGGAAATGGAACAAACACTTCTGAAATTCACATGGAACAATAAGCACCACCAAATTGCTAAAGCAATTCTTGGGGAAAAGAAAATGGGAGGAATCAACCTCCCCAACCTCAAACTCTACTACAAAGCAATAATAATTAAAACAGCATGGTACTGGAACAAAGACAGCGCTGCTGACCAGTGGAACATGGTTGAATATACTGACATCTCCCCCAAACATATGATTATCTAATATTTGATAAGGGAGCAAGCAATGTGAAGTGGTCAAGGAAAGCCTCTTTAACAAATTGTGCTGGCAAAACTGGAGAACTATAAGCAAAAAAATGGGCTCAGATCTCTACCTAACACCATGTACAAAAGTAAGATCAAAATGGATTAAAGAACTCAACATCAGACAGGAATCCCTAAGGTACACTGAAGACAAGGTTGGCAAAACCCTCCACAACATTGAAGTTAATGGTATCTTCAAAGATGACACAACACTGGCCAAGCAAGTGAAAACAGAGATAAACAGAAGCTTCTGCACCGCAAAAGATACAGTGACCAGAATACAAAGACAATGTACAGAATGGGAAAGGATAATCACTCAATACCCATCAGCTAAGGGGTTTATATCAAGGATATATAAGGCACTGGTTGAACTCTACAAGAAGAAAACATCCAACCCCATCAAAAAATGGGGCGATGAAATGAACAGAAACTGTCTCATTGAAGAAATCTGAATGGCACATAAAATGCTCTACAGCCCTAATCATAAGTGAGATACAGATCAAAACAACTATGAGATATCATCTCACACCAAAGAGACTGACCCACATCCAAAAGAACAAAAGGAATGGGTGTTGGCGCAGATGTGGCGAGAAAGGGACCCTCCTTCACTGCTGGTGGGAATGCCAATTGATTCATCCCTTTTGGAAAACGGTATGGACAATTCTCAAAAAATTAGAAATTGAGCTCCCATTTGACCCAGCAATACCACTCCTGGGAATATCCCGGAGAGGCAAAAAAGTGCAGTCACAATAACATCTGCACTTGTATGTTCATTGCTGCACTGTTCACAATAGCCAAAATTTGGAAAAAACCTTAGTTCCCGAGAGCAGATGACTGGTTAAAGAAACTCTGGTACATCTACGCAATGGAATACTATGCAGCTGTTAAAAAGAATGAAGTCATGAAATTTACATACAATTGGTTCTATATGGAAAGTATCATGTTAAGTGAAATGACCCTGAACGAGAGGGACAGGCATAGAAAAACTGCAGACATCTGGAGAATATAAAGTAACAGAATGGGAATCCAACAACAAGAATAATTGAGAGAAATACCAGGAGGTCAATTCCAGGGCTTGGAAGCCAGCAACACAGGCTTGGGGAAAAGGCAGCTCAGATAGAGAAGGGAACACCAAGTAAAGGATGTTTGGAGGACTTGCTCGGGATTTTAAATGCATGCTAAAAGTTGACTATAGATCAAACACGATGGCCACTCAATACCTCTTTTGCAAACTACAACACCCTAAAGTAAAGAGTGAGCAAAATGGAATGTCCTGCTATAGAGGTTGGGGTGGGGTGGGGGTGATGGGGTGGGGGTTTGGAGGGCTACTAGGATCACTGATGGTGGAGAATGGGCACTGGTGGAGGGATGGGTACTCAGTCATTGTGTAACTGAAAACCAAGCACAAAATTTTTAAATCTACAACTGAACCTCATGGTGTTTCACTAATAATAAAAAAGAAAGAGCTTATAAATAAACACAGAGGAATGGAAGTACTATGGGAATAACCCAATAAACCTAAGCTTCCTGTGGCAAGGCTGAAAGGACGAACCAATATCCTGCAGTGATTCAAGTAATTGTATATGCATAATGACTGTACAAAAAGTAAGCCACAAGTATAAAACATAGCATGAAGCATCTCTTTAGTAGCATCAGAAAAAAATTGTACATATAAGTGTAAAGAATACTAAATTATTATCTAACACCATGTGAAAATGAATTGAAAATATGTAAAGGTAAAGGCCCTCCCGTTGATCATCGATTTGCTCGAGTGGGCCCAGTAACGTCTCCATTGGAGACTTTGTTGTTACTGTGTCTGGCATATCCAATACTCTCGGTAGCTTGCCGGGCTCTCCGAGAGGGGCGGAGGAATCGAACTCGGGTTGGCCATGTTGGCTGCGTGCAAGGCAAACGCCCTACCGCTGTGCTATAGCTCCAGCCCTATGTGTAATGAATTAATTTTAAAACTAAAAATATCTCTTGCCATTAGGGAAATAGAAATTGAAACAAAAATACAATATCATCTCACATACGAGAATAACTATTATCCAAAAGACAAGAAATACTGTTGAGCAGGAACTTAAGAGAAATAAACCTTATCCATTACTGGTGGACAAGCATATTGGTGCATCTACTGTAGAATACAATATAGAAAATTATCCAAAAATATCAATAGAAAATGCACGCAATTCTGTTATCCCACTTATTATCTACCTGAACAAATGCAAAACTATATAAAAAAGATATATCCGTTCCCATTTTTTTGCAGCATTTGCAATAGTCAATAACTTAAAATTACTGAAGTACGCATAGGTTGACAAATGGATAAAAAAATGTTAGCACACACACTCATGTGTGCATGCATGCACATACACACACACACACACACACACACACACACACACACTGTTCTTTGATTAAAAGCTTCTTCCATTTAAAACAACACTGATGACCCGGAGGATATTATTCTTAAGATAATAAGCAAAGCACAGAGCCAAAGAGATAGTATGCTTAAGATGAAAGACTGCATGCGATGAAAGTCAGTTCCTACAAAGTCCCCTGAGCAGTGCCCAGAGTTAACCTCAAGCACAGATCTCAGGAGTAATCCCTGAATGTAGACCTTAGAGTCAAGAAAAAATAAAGAAACCTGGTATGGATAAAGACTGTAATAAGGCTTAACACCTTTACTAAAGATAGAGAAACAAACCAAAAACAAGCATTTGAAACATAAGACCAGTTAGTGATTACAAGAAAGAGAGCAGAGGGGGTTGAGTGAAATGGAAGAGAGGACAAATAATATGGCAAAGAATAGAACTGGACTTTTAGTGGAGAATTTACTGGAGTATACATACATTTCCAGGATGTTTACTTGCAAAAATTAATTCAATAATATATTTAAAAAATAATAAATTACAAAAAACATTGGATTAGTGGATAAATGTTAAGCTTTAGAGATTCATCTTATTTAACTTTTGTAAAGTTACTATTTTCAAGTTTGAAACTGTTATAACAATGTTATTCAATTATATCTTTCAAAAAGTATACAAGAAAATAAAGCAAATGCTTTCTAAAACTAAAATTATCAGTTAGATTTTATAAAATTCAAAAGGGCCACAAAATGTGTCTGGTTACACATAACATATTTATCCACATGGTGTTGTAAGAAAATATAAAAGCAAATGCAAACTTTCTTAAAAAAAAAAAACGAACACTTACAGCATTCATTATTCCAACTAGCTGGAAAATTTTTTCAGTGACAACAGCAACATCAGAACCCATATGACTATACTGAAAAACAAATTATCTATTAGATATAAATGAACAGTACTCAGAAACTGTTTAAACATTTTAAACACTATTAATTATAACATTAATATTTCGATATATATTCATACAAAAGTTTAAAACTATAAAGTAATACAAAAGATACAAAGAGTCTCAAGACCTGAAAGAACAGAGACCATTATCAAATTTATTTCACTAGGCTGACATTCACCTGATATCAAAACCAGAGACAAGAGGGGCTGGAGAGATAGTACAGTGGGTGGGGTGCTTGCCTTGCACTCAGCTGACCTGGGTTTGTTCCTAGTCATATGGTCCCCCCCAAACACTGCCAGGGGTAATTCCTGGGTGTAGAGCCAGGAGTAACTACAAGCATCATCTAGTGTAGCCCAAAATCGAACCAAAACAAAGAACAAGCAAACAAACAAAATCAGATACAAGAAAAAGAAAATACAGTTTAACATTTCTGATATATACAAATTCAAACATCCTAAAACCATATTAACAAACTGAATTCAAAAGTAGTATCATATACCATAATCAAGTAGGACTTATCCAACCAAGCAAGAATGGTTTTATGTACTTTAAAAAGTTTACTTGCAATACTCATTATTTAAAATAGGCTGTAATTCCTTGCCATACTTACCAAATTCCTTATTAAAATATTTAATAGTATAATAAGGGATGAGGAGGAGAAGTATCACTATTTTTAGTAATATCTTAACATATAGAAAATCTTAACAATACAAAAAACTTAAAAATATTAGAAATAGCAAATTTATATTGTTATGAGAATAATACAACTCTGAATGCAAAATGTTTATTTAGAAATACAAATAGCAAAGAAATAAAAAGAGATATCAAGGAAAATCCAATTAAAATCACACCAAAGAGAATGAAAAAAAAATTTTGTTCACACCCAACAATGCTCAGGGTCTACTTCTGGCTGTGTGCTAGGGGGATCACTCCTGGCAGACTTGGGGCACCATATGTGGTGCCAGGGATCAAACCCATGCTATGTGCATGTACTCCCTACTTATTTATTATTGCTTCAGCCTTTTTTTATAAAATAGGAATGAATTTGACCAAACAAAGTTAAAATATTTTTGCATTATAAACCATAATATAAGATTGGCAAATTAAAACAACAACATGCTGCTTTAAACTGAAAATTCTGAATCAAAAATTTCTATAATCACTGAATGATGGCAGGGTGCAAAGTAAAGAAAACTTTTTAAACCATTGAAAGGAGAGATTTAACCTCTATGGAAAATAGACTGGGTATTACTAAATATAATTTTTATTAGAATGCATCTTTTATATGATCCAGGGGCCTTTAATATGATCCAGGAGTTTTATACCATAAGTACCTATCCAAAGGACTTGAAAACACCAATTTGCAAAAGCTATATGCATTCTGTTTATTGTGACACAGTTTGCAATAGCAAATATATGTAAACAAATCAAATATAAAATGACACATAAAGAAGATATGATATATAGAAACAGTAGAATATGACTAAACAATCAAAAAAGATAAACATCTGAACTTTTGCTACGACATGGATAGAAGGTGAGAAAAAATTCTAAACAAAATAAGTCAGAAGGAAATACAAATACTACATAATGTATCACACATATGTAAGATATAGAAAAGCAGAACAAGAGAACATACAAAATCAAACAAAATCAAATATGGGAAAGATGGTCTTAGAAAATGTTGAAGTAGATACTGGAGTGAGAGAACTTCCCACCATCAAACCTTGCCACAGGGAAAAATTAAGAAAAGCTACAAGAAGACACATTATCTAGAGAAGACCCTACTGAGAGGAAAATGCTAAGAATCCACTGATCTTCTCTAACCACTTGACCTTAACCAAAGGCCACCAAGATCATGGTGTATATATAATCCCAGGGGAAGAGAGAAGGAACATCAGATATTTTTCCAGGACCTCCTCCTTGCACAAGACAAATCATAAAGCTGACTAGAGAACTTAAATGAGCAAAGGACTAGCTACAGACATTTTTACACATGGACACCACTAATAAGCAGTGAGCCTAAAAGCAGAATCCTCAACTGTGGATGAAGTAGCAGTAGGCAGATCCTAGCATCACTCACCAGGTGATGCTCAGGGCTTACCTGACTCTGCTCAGGTATCATGCCTGGAAGGGACCAGTATATGGTACTGGAGATTGAACCTCTGTTGACTTCATAGAGTGCAAATGCCCTATCTACTGTACTATTTTTCTGGCCCCCTCTTCTATTTTTATTAATAATGATTTATATTTTGATGTAGAAGTCCTGCCCATTTTCCTCAAATAACCACCATGGTTTCTTTATTTTTTTTCTTTTAGTTTTCTTTTAGTCATTTAGTTTGCTTTGGTTGTTTATGAGTTAATCATCCAGTATACTTGTCTATGCTTTGTTTTTTCATTTATCCTAATCATCTCAGTGTTTGCCTCAAAATGCATGATATTTTTAAGCTACTAAGTCCATTGAGCATAGCTTATACATACATTCTTAATCATGTCCCTTGTTGAGGGACATGTAGATTCTGCATTTTGACTATTGAAAATATTTACCCCCTGCTTTAAATATAAGGGGAAGATTCTTTTAATGTTTTGTTTCATATAAATATCCAGCAGTAGTATTATTGTAAAATATTGTATTCAAATTATTTTTAAAAGTAGCTCCATATTTGTTTCTAAACATAATTTACACACACACCCACGGTATACCATGGATTTTCTTCAATTTCTCATCAATAGTTGCTTCCTATACATTTTTCTTCAAAAGTAACATTTACTAGTTTATTTTAAAATTATTATAATATTTTCGGTAACATAGTGTTCATTAATTAGTGTTAATGTTTATCATTTTGATCTGCAATGACCTCATCTTCACCACAACCAAAGTGCCCCAGATTCTCTTGGCATTGTCCCTATGTCACCTCTAATTCAACTTTTCATTCCCCCAGAGTATCCAACAAAACATTTTTATTGTAGTGATTTTTGATTTTGTATTTATGATGTATATTTTTGTTAACATTTTATCATTTTCAGATTTTTTTCTAAACATCAGGATCTAAACACAAGCTCCATATTGGTATTAAATTTCCTTAATTTACTATCATTTTTCTAATTATGATATTTATTTTATAGCCAGTGACTTTACTGCACAAGTGTATTGTCTCTAGGAGTTTCTTGGTAGAGGCATTAGGATTCTCTAGATATAGTATCATATCATGCAAATAATGAGAGCTTGATTTCTTCCCTTCCTATCTGGATGCTCTTAATATCTTTTTCTTGCCTAACTGCTACTGCAAGCACTTCCAGTACTATATTGAACAGAAGTGCTGAGAATGGGCATCCTTGTCTTGTCCCTGATCTTAGAGGGAAGGCCCTTAGTTTTTCCCCATTGAGGATAATGCTTGCCATAGGTTTGTTGTAGATGGCTTTGACTATCTTGAGGAAAGTTCCTTCTGAGCTCATTTAAGTGAGAGTTTTCATCATGAACAGGTGTTGGATCTTGTCAAATGCTTTCCCTGCATCTATTGATGGGATCATATGGTTTTTATCTTGACTTTTGTTAATATGATAGATTACGTTGACTGATTTCTGAATGTTAAATCATACTTGCATCCCCAGTATGAATCCCACTTGGTCGTGGTGTATGATTTTTTGATGAGTTGTTGGATTCTATTTGCTAATATTTTGTTGAGGATCTTTGCATCTGTGTTCATCAGAGATATTGGCCTGTGGTTTTCTTTGTTAGTGGTGTCTTTGTTTGCTTTTGTTATTAGGGAGATATGGGCTTCATAGAAACTGTTTGGGAGAGTTCCTGTTATTCACTTTCCTGGAAAAGCTTGAGGAGAACTGGCAACAGGTATTCTTTAAATGTTTGGCAGAATTCCCTAGTGAATCCATCTGGGCCTGGGCTTCTATTTTGGGGAAGACTTTGATTACAGTTTTGATTTCCTTGATATGAATGGGTCTATTCAAGTATTCCAAGTCTTCTTGGCTCAGCCTTGGGAGATTAAAGGCGATGTTGAAGTCTCTGACTATCAATGTAGTGCTGGCAATGTCCTCCTTAAAATCTGTTGGCAGTTGTTTCAAGTGTTTAGCTGGTCCCTCATTATGTACATATACATTTCAGAATGTGATTTCTCCCTGTTTACATATCTATTGATAAATAGGAAAAGGCCTTTTCTGTACCTTCTAATATTTTTCAACCTAAATCTATGTTGTGGGATACTAATATGGCCAACCCAGCTTTTTTGAGAGACTTTTTTGCTTGCAGGTTTGTTTTCTATCCTTTAACTTTGAGTCTGTGTTTGCTCTGACTATTCAGATAAGTTTCTTGTAGGCAGCAGAATGTTGGTTTCAGTTTCTGGATCTATTATGCCATTCTTTGTCTAGTGATTAGTGCATTTAGACCATTGAGAGAGATTATTGTCATGAGGTGTTGTGCTATATTTCTGTAAGGGTTTGTTGTGCTTATGGGTGTTTTCCTTTTTAAATTATTCCATGAAATGAAAGTGTATATGAGGAAATAAAAACGTATCCCCTGCCTTGGATAGGAAGAATTAACATTGTCAAAATGGCAATACTCCCTAAGGCACTACACAGATTCAATGCGATCCCTAAAAGAATACCCATGAATTTCTTCTAAGAAATGGATCAAGCACTCCTAAAATTCATTTGGAACAACAAATGCTCACAAATAGCTAAAGCAATTCTTGGGGAAAAGATGATGGGAGGCATTACCCTCCTCAACCTCAAACTAATACAAAGCAGTAACAATAAAACAGAATGGTACTGGAACAAAGGCAGAGCTACAGACCAATGGAATAGGGTGAATATCCTTACACACAACCCCAAATGTATGAACATTTAATCTTTGATAAGAGAGCAGAAAATTTGGAGCAAGAAAAACCTCTTTAAATGGTGCTGGCATAACCGGACAACTACATGCAAAAAATGGGCTTAGACCTCGACTTAACACCATGCACAAAAGTCAGATGCAAATGAATTAATGACCTCAACATCAGACCAGAATCCATAAGGTAAACTGAAGACAAGTTCGGCAAAACCCTCCACAATATTGAGGTTAATGATTTCTTCAAAGATGACATGCCACTGACTAACCAAGTGGAAACAGAGATAAACAAATGAGACAATATTAAACTAAGAAGCTTCTGCACCAAAAAATATACAGTGTCCAAAATACAAAAAAATCTGCAGAATTGGGAAAGATATTCACCCGATATCCATCCAATAAGGGGTTGATATCAAGGATATACATAATACTGGTTGAACTCCACAAGAAGAAAACATCAAACCCCATCAAAAACAAAGGCATACCTGTAGACCAATGGAACAGGGTTGAATATACTGACATCTCCCCCCAAGCATACGAGCATCTAATCTTCGATAAGGGGGCAAGAAAAGTGAAGTAGAGCAGGGAAAGCCTCTTTAACAAATTATGCTGGCAAAACTGGACGGCTACATGCAAAAAAAATGGGCTCAGATCTCTGCCTAACCCCATGTACAAAAGTAAGATCTAAGTAGATTAAAGACCTCAACATCAGACCGGAATCTATAAGGTACATTGAGGAAAAAGTTGGCAAAACCCTTCATGATATAGAAGCTAATGGTATCTTCAAAGATGTCACACTGCTGGCCAAGCAAGTGAAAACAGAGATAGACAAATGGGACTATCTTAAACTAAGAAGCTTCTGCACCTCAAAAGAAACAGTGACCAAAATACAAAGACAGTCTACAGAATGGGAAAGGATATTCGCCAACTACACATCTGATAAGGGGTTAATTTCAAGGATATACAAAATACTGGTTCAACTCCACAAAAAGAAAACATTCAACCCCATCAAAAAATGGGGAGATGAAATGAATAGAAACTTTGACAAAGAAGAAATCCGAATGGCTAAAAGACACAAGAGAAAATGTTCCACATCATTAATCATCAGGGAGATGCAGATCAAAACCACAATGAGATATCACTTCACACCACAGAGACTGGCCCATATCCATAAGAACAAAAGCAACTGGTGCTGGTGAGGATGTGGCGAGAAAGGGACACTCCTTCACTGTTGGTGGGAATGCCGACTGGTTCAGCCCTTTTGGAAAACAGTATGGTTGACTCTCAAAAAATTAGAAATTGAGCTCCCATTTGATCCAGCAATACCACTCCTGGGAATATATCCCAGAGAGGCAAAAAAGTATAGTCGAAGTGACATCTGCAATTGCCTGTTTATTACAGCACTCTTTAAAATAGCCAGAATCTGGAAAAAACCTGAGTGCCCGAGAACAGATGACTGGTTAAAGAAACTTTGGTACATTTAAACAATGAAGTACTATGCAGCTATTAGAAAAGACGAAGTCACGAAATTCACATACAAGTGGTACTACATGGAAAGTATCATGTTAAGCGAAATGACTCAGAAAGAAAGGGATAGACACAGAAAGATTGCATTCATCTGGTGAACATAAAGTAACAAACACCCAAGAATGGCCGAGATTAGTACCAGGAATTCTACTCCATGACTTGGAGGACAACCACACATACTAGGGAAAAGGGAGTTCAGATAAAGAGGGGAACACCAAATAAAGGTGTTGGGAGAACCCTCCCAGGAAGGGAGAAGCATGCTGAAAGTAGACTATAGACCAAACATGATTGCCACTCAATGTTTCTTTTGCAAACCACAACACCCAAAAGGAGAGAGAGAACAGAGGGGAATGCCCTGCCACAGAGTCAGGGTGGGATGGGGGTACGGGGGATGGGAGGGATACTGGGATGTGTGGTGGTAGGAAGTGGGCACTGGTGGAGGGATGGTATTTGATTATTGTATAATTGAAACCCAAGCACAGAAATGTGTGGGTCTGCAACTGTACCTCATGATGTCTCACTATTAAAAAAATTTTAATAAAAAAACAAAAAAAAATAAAAATACATAAAAAATGGGTTGACTAAACGAAAAGAAACTTTCTCAAAGAAGAAATCTAAATGACTAAAAGGAAAATGAGAAAATGCTCTACATCACTAATCATCAGGGAGATACAGATCAAAACAACAATGAGATATCATCTCACACCACTGAGACTGGCCCACATCCAAAAGAACAAAAGCAACGGATGTTGGCGCAGATGAGGTAAGAAAGGGACCCTACTTCACTGCTGGTGGGAATGCGGACTGGTTCAGTCCTTTTAGAAAACAGTATGGACAATTCTCAAAAAAATTAGAAATTTAGCTCCCATTTGACCCAGCAATACCACTCCTGGGAATATATCCTGGAGAGGCAAAAAAAGTATAGTCAAAATGACATTTGCACTTGTATGTTCATTGCTGCACTGTTCACAATAGCCAAAATCTGGAAAAAACCCCAATGCCCGAGAACAGATAACTGGTTAAAGAAACTTGGTACATCTATACAATAGAATATTATGCTGCAGTTAGAAAGGATTTAGTCATGAAATTTGCAAACAAGTGGTTCTACATGAAAATTATCATGCTCAGTGAAATGAGCCAGAAAGAGAGGGATAGATATAGAAAGACTGCACTCATCTGGGGAATATAAAGTAACAGAATAGGAAATGAACACCCAAGAATAGTTGAGAATAGTACCTGGAGGTCTGCTCCATGTCTTGGAAGCTGGCAAACCACAGGCTGGGGGGAAATGCAGCTCAGATAGAGAAGGGAATGCCAAGTAAAGGATGTTTGGAGGACTCGGCTTGGGATGCAAGACACATGCTGAAAGTAGACCATAGACCGAACACAAATGGCCACTCAATACCTCTATTGCAAACTATAAAACCCTAAAGGAAAGAGAGAGCAAATGGGAATGTCCTGCTCTAGAGGTTGAGGTGGGGTTGGGGGGAATGGGGGTGGGTGGGAGGGCTACTGGCTTCATTGATGTTGGAGAATGGACACTGGCGGAGTAATGGGTACTTGATCATTGTATAACTGAAACCCAAACACAAATATATGTAAGTCTACAACTATACCTCATAGTGTTTCACTAATAAAAGATAAAATAAAATTTATAGGGCTGGAGCGATAGCACAGTGGGTAGGGCGTCTGCCTTGCACGCAGCCAACATGGCCGACCCGAGTTCGATTCCTCCGCCCCTCTCGGAGAGCCCGGCAAGCTACCCAGAGTATTCGATATGCCAGACACAGTAACAACAAAGTCTCCAATGGAGACGCTACTGGGCCCACTCGAGCAAATCGATGATCAATGGTAGGGCCTTTACCTTTACCTTTACCTTATGGAAACTAAAAAATATCCATAACCAAAATAAATCCTCACCAAATGTAAGCTTTGATGAATCACGTAATAAACATTCAAAGCTAAAATCAGAGAATGCTGAAGGTACTTAAAAGAAAGTTGTTAGCTATACACAATAAATTATATTAAAATTATCATCCACCTTTTCAGTAAAAACTTCAGCAACCAGAAAACAACATGTTAGTATATTAGGATAGGATAGGATAGTGTCCTCCCATTGTTCATCGATTTGCTCAAGTGGGCCCAGTAACGTCTCCATTTTTTGAGACTTGTTGTTACTGTGTTTGGAATATTGAATACATCATGGGTAGCTTTCCAGGCTCTGCTGTGCAGGTGAGATACTCTCGGTAGCTTGCCAGACTCTCCGAGAGGGGCGAAGGAATCGAACCCGGCTTGGCCGGGCTGGCTGCACGCAAGGCAAATACCTTACCTCTGTGCTATCGCTCCAGCCCCATGATAGTATGTTAAAATTACTAAATGCAAAGTGGAAAATAACTTTGAAAGACACTTCAGGAGCTTACAATATTTAACATATTATCATACAATTCATAGACTATACTCCTTTACATTAAACCTAAAGGAGTATAAATGTTTGGCAAGATAAAACTTATGCAATTATATTTATAGAAATATTTCTGTACTCATAGAAATATTTATATACATAAAATTTATATACAACTACATAATTTTCAAAAAATTGGAAGCAGGGGGTATGGTGCCACCAGCAGGTCAGTCTGTACCTGTGAGATGAGAGCATCAGCAGCTTGATGGCACCGTCAGACATTCAGATACCCCAAAATTGCTGCTGTGCCTTTGGACAGACCCCAAAAACTTGGGGGGAAGATTACCAAGAAAGTAAATGGCCAAAAGTTAGGTATGTGGGAGACACACCCACAAACCACCTCTGGCTTAGCTATATAATTGGAGGCATGGCCTCTCTGGTTCCTGATCGAAGTTCTTAACGGTCATGATCCCAGAGACTCAGAAATGAATCTCGGAACCCAAAAGGCTTTTGGCAGAAATGTGCCCTGTTCCTGCAGTAGGTTACTGGCAGTGGGCCAATCCAGGTGGGAATAGGTTTCAGGCCTTAGCCTGTTCCCCCTGGCGGCCTGGTGACCACCATCCTCCAGAGGCCACAGAATAGTTAGGTTTGAGTCTGCAGTGAGGAGACACATGGGGCCTCATGGGATGGGGGTGGAACCGGTCCTTTCCTCCCCATCCCAACAAGACCCTGAGTCGCCACCTACAAACGGCCTCTCTGACTCCTGATCAAGCAGATTAACAGCCATGATTCCAGAGACTCAGAAACAAATCTCGAAACCCAATGGCTTTTGGCAGAAATGCATCTAGACCGCATACAAGGTGGCCACCGCCTCAGAGCTTATTAGAAAGCCAGGTGTGAGTCGGTGGTGACAGGGCAACTGCAGTCTCATGGGAAGGGGGGTGGTACCGGCTCGTCCTTCATACCCTACAGAGGTCACGAGTTGCCCCCCACAAGCGGCTGATGGCATGTTGTATTGGGGGGCTCTTTCAGGATCAGGGGAATGAGGAACGTCATTGTTACTGTTTTTGGCATATCATATATATAATAAGAATATACTTACCAAATATTTTTCAACTACAATATGCATTTCTATGTACTGAAATAACTGTTTAATTGCCTGAAAAATACACAGAAGACGTGTCAAAACTGAAAAATTATTCAAATACTTCAGTATTTATCACTATACTGTAAACTAAATGTTGAAAAATTATATTCCTTATTGAGGACATAGGAGAAGGTAAAACTAAATATAGCACAATTATTTACAAATACTGACTTTCTCAATTATTTTGCACCTGATTTGTCATGTAATAAAATAAGAAAGTGACCATACATTCTATCATATGTTCTCCTTATTCTCATTGTTACTGAGAAACTAGTGTTGCTCTCTTTCCTGCAGAAAACCTCCAATTAACAGCCACAACAATGAACTTTATATTTATAATACAACTATACATTGTAATACTGTATGGTATTATCTATAATCTGAGAAAATATGAGTACACCATCTAACAGATAAGTTAGTCCTTATATAAAATCACCATATAGGTAAAAATTAGAAACAGAAAATAATTTGCTTTTCTTAATTGAATCATAGATATCCTAAAATGTGGGTGTTCTGAGTATTATGCCAGCAACTTAAATTTTAATACTTAAATTAGACACAAAGCTTGACCTTACAGAGTTTTAACTGTAACAAGTTTATAGCATTTAGATTCTGAAAAAAGTGGGGGAAAGCAACCACTATTATAATTACTAATATAAAACAGTATCTACTTTCATCAGTATTGCCATGTAAGATAATCTAGGAGAAAAAATGTACAATTAACTTGTAAGACAGGCCTCATAAGCATTTTATGGTGTACCTATCTTAAAAGTAAAATGTTACTAAAAGGTTATACCTTCCACAAGCACAGTATAAATATCAAGAATAGAAGATCAAAATTCATAAACAGAAGGTAAATTTATTGTGGATATTTTAATATCTACATATTTTACACTGACATATAATCCCTGAAAGTTCAATAAACAACTTTAAGTTAAACTATTCTACTTAGCATAAAAAGATTAAAGAGAAAACAACAAATGTAAAATTTGAGATCAGTAAAGTGATAACTATAATCATTCAAAGGAAACAAAGTAAAACTTAATGTGAAATTTTTTATATTATTGTTTTTTATCATTTGTATCAAAATTAAATTATACACAAAACATTTTAGAGTTTTGCTTTTAGGATCCAATTTTTTCACTGAACAATTACACAAGGAGTTTACTGAAGGATAAAGAATTAAAATTTGTGTTCGTTGTGAGAAAGTATATTATTAGATCTATGGAACCAAAATTATTATTTTAAGCATCAGTGTACTAGATGCCTAATGTCTTCAAATAAATTCCTCTTCATTCCCACAGTAAATCGTTTTTATATTTATAGCTGGAGCGATAGCACAACGGGTAGGGCGTTCGCCTTACAAGCGGCCAACATGGCCGACCCGAGATCGATTCCTCCGCCCCTCTCGAGAGCCCGGCAAGCTACCGAGAGTATTGGATATGCCAGACACAGTAACAACAAAGTCTCCAATGGAGACGTTACTGGGCTCGCTCGAGCAAATCGACGATCAACGGGAGGGCCTTTACCTTACCTTTACTGATTTTATACTGGGTCTTTAATGTTTATCATTCATTTACTGAAAATACATTAGAAAAATATTTTTATCCACTTAACTTTCTTAAAAATTATTGTTATAATTAGGATAGCATAGCTAAATAAAAATATTTTTATTATAACTTGGATAGTATTGTTAATGTCTATAGTATTGATATATAAAGTTACTTCATCCTACAACCACTATTGTTACAATACCCTTTCATGTCCTTTGTTTATTCTATTTTACCTCTTCATTCCCACAGTAAATTAATTTAAATGTATAAAAGAATGCTAGAAAGATGTATTGCTGTTAGATTTTGAAAATGTGGAAAAGTGGGTCTGGAGGTTTATTACAGCAGGTAAGGCACTTGCCTGGCATGTGGCCAACCCATATTCTGTCTCTAATGACGCATATGGTCCTCTGAGAACACTAGGACTGATCCCTGAGCGAGCGCAGACCTAGGAACAAGCCCTGAGCAATACTAGATGTGGCCCCCAAAACAAAAATAAAGAAAATTTAAATGTGGAAAAGCATTCTATTTAATAAAAAAAAAGTAGTCACATAAGGATTAAATATGTATTATGTAAATGTAGTTTTTTTATTGATTTTATTGAATCACCATGAGATAGTTATAAGCTTTCATGTTTGGGTTACAATCACACAATGATCAAACACCCATCCTTCCACCAGTGCACATTCCCCACCACCAATAAAGGTAAAGGTAAAGGCCCTCCCGTTGATCGTCGATTTGCTCGAGCGGGCCCAGTAACGTCTCCATTGGAGACTTTGTTGTTACTGTGTTTGGCATATCAAATACTCTCGGTAGCTTGCCGGGCTCTCCCCACCACCAATATCCCTGGTATAACCCCCCTTTCTCACCCTCCCTCTGCCTCCATGGCAGATATGATTCCCCATAATCTCTCTCTACTTTTGGGCATTATGGTTTGCAATACAGACCCTGAGAGGTTATCATGTTTGGTCCTTTATCTACTTTCTGCACACATCTCCCATCCCGACTGATTCCTCCAGCCATCTTTTTCTTAGTGATCCCTTCTCTATTCCAGCTGCCTTCTCCCCTTTGCTCATGAGGCAGGCTTCTAGCTATGGAGCAATCTAAATGTCCCATGTATCTACTGTTCTTAGGTGTCAGCCTCATGTTTTGTTATTTTATACTTCACAAATGAGTGCAGTCCTTCTATGTCTGTCCCTCTCTTTCTGACTCATTTCACTTAGCATGATACTCTTCATGTCTATCCATTTATAAGCAAAGTTCATGACTTCATCACTCCTGACAGTTGCATAGTAAGGTAAAGGTAAAGGCCCTCCCGTTGATCGTCGATTCGCTCGAGCGGGCCCAGTAACGTCTCCATTGGAGACTTTGTTGTTACTGTGTCTGGCATATCGAATACTCTCGAGAGTATCCCATTGTAAATGTAATTGTTTTGATTAAAATGCCAATTAGATTTATCTAACAACAAAGTTAGATAAAACTATTGCGTGATCTAATCACAATATTAGCAATCATATAGCTTGGTAAATTTATCACCCACCTTTATACGTTTTGTTTTGTAGGGAAATTTTGTTGATTCAATATCTTCCTCAGCGTATAAAGAAAGACCAACATTCTTATGTTTGATTTGGTAAATAACATGTTCAAAACCAATGGAAGGCTCCAAGGGCTCAATTCCATAACTGACATTTTCAAACTGCAATAAGCCCCTAGGAATTAAAATAACAAGTAACTAAATAAAGTAATGCTTTTTTAAAAAAAGCCAGTAAAATAAGATGACACATAAGTTTTAATAGTATGCTGATTATTAAAATTGTAAATGTTGATATAGGTAGAAATCATGGGGTATACACTGACTTAAATGATACAAAACAATAATTTCTATTCACATAAGCAACCAAATTTCATGTTTTGTACATAATCAAGGATCTTAATTAAGGAAAAATTTTGCCATACTATGAACTATGTTTTTCCAAGAGAAGTTATGCAGCAATATTCTCACAGTATGCTTTATCTAAAACAGTTTTCAACAAAAGATATTTTATTTTAGAACTCATAAAAATATTTAAAACTATTTCCAAAAATGTTCAATATTTGTAAAAAAAATTTATATATAATAACCTGAGTCCAGCACATGTGCTGAGGATGACCATAGATTTTGGGTGATCTTCAATATTGCCTTGGTAGTAGCAAAAATTCTGAAAAATTGAAAATTAAACAAATGCATATCTCTATACTATCTTCAAATATTCATACCATATGATTATTAATATGCACATACCAATTATTGATGTTTTACATAATATGCTTACAAGAAACATGTTTTTAAATTATTTTGCTGTAAACTAAACATGGCATTTTGGGTCATAAGAATGTATATTTTATATATTTCTCTTTTAATTTACATGTTTCTCTTTATATATTTCTTTTTTGCAACATAGAAACAAGGAAATCTAACCCAATGAGAACATTTACTTTTAAAAATATGTAAATTCAATGAAAATAAAGTATACTAATAATCTTATAGTTAGGAGATATGAACTTTAGAAAAGTAAACCCCTACTACAAAATAATGCATAAAGAGAAGAGAGAATGGAATAAATAATAGCTAACTTTTCCCAATAAATAATAGAAAGAAAATTATGCTTACTTAAGTAATTGGGAAAAATTTATCCTTTCACCAAAGTTACTGCCCATAATGTTGGGCAGGGCAAAACAGGTGATAATATTCTAATAGAAAATATAAGCCTACTGACCATAGATTCAAAATATCTACAAATGGAGAAAGTATATATTGGATACTCCAAATGTATGATTTTTGGGGAATAATATGTTAGCTTACATATGAACTGAAAACAAAGAGAAAAATCTCAAGTAACCAAGTATTATAGGAAGAATTGAAAAGGGGCCTTTGTCTATATCCAAACACAGGAAAGTAAAGTTTATAAACTGGTTCTTGTCCAGTCAAATTTATAAAATAAAGGATAATTTTCTTTAATAATAAGAATAACAGTTTGGGAAGAAATGATTAATATTATCTACATAGTATATTTGAAATTGTTAATGTAGATTACTCAATATACTAATAGGAACTATAGTTTTCATGCAGTGGATTATTTCACAAGGAATTATTTATTTTTTGAATTATTTCTTATTTCTCCTTTTGAGCAAAATAGCAACCCAGAGCAGCAGAATTCTGAATGTGGAGAACAGTATTAGTGATCTTGAAGACAAAATACAACTCATCAAAAATGAGAAGAAAAAGACAGAAGAGAACATCCACAAACTAATAGTCAGCAGCAAGAGAAATAACCTCCAATTATAGAAAGATCAAAAAAGAAGGGAAAAGAAGGGGAAGAACAATTCCATAAGGGATCATAGCTCAGAATATTCCTAGTTTCTGTAGAGAGAGATTTCTGCACAGATTCAAGAGACCCAAAGAGGGCCCAATAAAAATAAAATATACATAAAAAATTACAAAATAAGCCACATCTAGACAATTGAAATAAAAAATTACAAGAACCCAAGACAGAGACATACTACCTAAAAGTGTTGAGAGAAGAAAAACCTCAAATATAAAGGAAATAACAAAAATTACAACATATATCCCAACTGAAACTTTAAACCAAGAAGAGTGAAATGACATATTCAAAGTACAGAATTAAAAAAAAATAATACTTTCAATCCAGAGTACACTATCCTGCAAAAATGTCATTGATATTTAAGGCACCAAAAAGAGTTAGTGACATTTGCTTGTACAGCTAAACTGAAACTGCATAATTACTGAAAGTTGGCCTATAAAATGCAAATGACTGTCAAAAACAGCTAAACCCTCCACTCAGAAAAGTGGCAACACAGCCCATTTATATCAATAATTTCCCAATGTCAATGGACTAAATTCTCCATTAGAATCACATTGTCTTGACAGATCAGGAAATAAAATCCACTATTTAGAGTTTACAGAAAACACATACAAATTTATAGAACAAACATAGACTCAGAGTGAAAGATAGGAAAAAAGTCATAAAACTAACAGTAAACCAAAAAAAAAAAAGATGGTCCAGGGCAGCCATACTTATAGTACTTATATTAGAACAAATAGCATATAAACTAAGAAAATAGCTAGACATAAAGATGTACAGAATAGATTGGCAAGCACCAACTCAATAACTTATATGGAACAGAATGAAGGGTCAGCAAAGTAATAAAAATAAGTCTGCTCATAGCACAGTGGTAGGGCGTTTGCCTTGCACACAGCCAACATGGCCCACCCGAGTTCTATTCCTCGGCCCCTCTCGGAGAGCCCGGCAAGCTACTGAGAGTATTCGATATGCCAAACACAGTAACAACAAAGTCTCCAATGGAGACGTTACTGGGCCCGCTCAGAGCAAATCAATGATCAACGAGAGGGCCTCTACTATTTACTATTTTTACTATAGACCTAAAAAAAAGAAACAGTGATGGAAATGCAGTAACAGTGGGAGATTTCAACATTCCACTTTCATTTGCCATTGGACAGATCAACCAGATAGAATATCGATAAAGATATTAGAGCCCCAAATTAAGAGTTAGTGTAACTGGGATTAATTAACACATACTGGGATATCCACCCTCAAAAGCTGAATACACATTCTTCTCTTGTGCAGCTAGGTCATTTTCCCGGTTAGATGACATATGAGGGTTTAACTAGAACATACATAAAATTACAAATATAAGCCAATTATCTTCTCCAATTACAATGCCATAATGGCAGAAACAAACCATGAAAACAATATGGGAAAAACTCCAAGTAGAGGCTGAAATAAACACTGGTAAACAATTAAATCAACCAGGAAATCAAGGAGTAAATAAAAAGATACCTGGAAACTAACAAGAATGGAGAAATAAGTTATAATCTGTGGGACACAGTAAAAGCTATACTAGGGGGGAGAATTCAGCAATACAGACCTAGCCTAGGAAAAGAGGAAAAGCTCAAATTAATAAGCTAAGCACACATTTTTAATGGAGAAACAAAAAGCAGTTAAAAAGCATTAAAAAAAAAGAAGTAAAAACGAAAGTAAAAATGCAGTTTTAAAAAAGCAGTTAAAAAATCAGTTAAAAAAGGAAAATGGGCACTAGTGGAGGGATAGGCATTTGTAAGTCTGTAACTGTACCTCATGATGTCTCACTATTAAAAATTAAAAAAAAAAACTAAAGTAGAAATCAGTGGTGTGGAAACCAAGAGAGCGGTACAGAGTCAGTGAAATCAGGAGCTGGTTCTTAGAATAAACAAACCTTTATTTAGACTCATGAGGAAAGAAATAAAATGCCTAAATAAATTTGATCAGAGAGCAGAGGAGAAATCATAACAGACCCTTCCAAACATTAAAGATATCACAAGAGTAACTATAAACAACTCTACTAGATTAAGTTGTTGTCTCCAATTTTCTTTTTCTGCCTGTCTATTTGTCTGTTTGTCTGTCTGCCTGATTGCCTCTTCTCTTTCTCTCTCTCTCTCGCTCTCTCTCTCTCTCACACACACACACACACACCTACACAAATACCACATTGCATATTCATATATTTATAACTGTCATAAAGTTGTCTGAGAGTATTGTATTATTTATATTTTTGTACAAAATAGTTTATAGATGATAATATATTATTTGCTTAGTTTGTTGGGCAAAATTAAAGCAACCAACATATGTATGATTTTTCTCTACTAAAAGCTTAACCTTATAAAATGCTTTAATTTCAAAGTACCAGCAGATTCACTGCATAGAATTTAAGAATACAAACTACAAACAAAATTTAAAAACCCAGCTGCTGGTAGGGCAAAGAAAAGTTAAGGAAAAGAACATTTTAAGAATGGATAACTCCAAAATTTATACTCCTTCATTATTTCATAAAATTAAACATAATTAAATGAAACTCCAAATATTCCAAATGTGAGAAAAATACAACATACTTCAGAATGTGCATTAAATTCCACTGCAGTTTTTTTTTGTACAATTGTTAACTGTGGACATATTGCAGACAAGAATAAATTCTTATTTTCCTAAATTTGATAACCCTCATTCAAGAAAAGTTTTTTCATTTTGAGATTTTCATATTATCAACCCTATTGCCAGAGATGAAAAATTACATAACCCTACATCATGTAATATACAGCTCAAAAATCATGGTCATTTTGATTATTTATAAGAGGAGTAATTCAAGAGAAATCTTGAGTTTGGTTAATTTAAGATATATATTTATAACATGTATAAATTATATATAAATATATATGTATCACTTATAATATTATATTGTATCATAATCATATATAATATTACTGTAATCATTTGTGCACTCTAGCAATATGTATATACAAAAAGTTGCTCACAGAAACTCACAAGACAAAGGTAACAGATAAGATGAAAATCATACCTGAAAGTTTTGTTCAAGAGGTGTCATACTTTGTGTACCATTATAACTGTAAACTCTAAAATTATGAGGCAAAAATGTTCTGTAAAAATAAATTTAAAATAATTATTGACTCATTTCCAAATATGTTGAAATCTTTTATTACTGATAAGTTGGAAAGTAGAGATGGAATCTGAAGACATGATATTGTTCTACTTTGACTCAAAAACCCTAGTTTTTGAGATTTTTAAAAATACTTCTAGTCCTTTAAAGTTTTTAAAACTGGTGGAGTTTATGGGCCACACCGGGAGTTCTCAAGACTTGCTTCTGGCTCTGTATCAAGTGGAGCTCCAGGGACCTTATGGAATTCTATGGATCTAATCTGGACCTGTGAAAGGCTAGCACCCTACCAGCTCCAGTGTGTATCTAGCTTACTCAAGGTTTTGTTGCTTTTGATCTCATCCAGTAGTGCTCAGGGCTTACTCCAGGATCCGTGGTCCAGAGATCATTTGGGGTGCGAAGATCAACTGGGGTTGGCCCCATGCAAGGCAAGCATCCTACCCATATTTCTCTAGCTCTGTCTCTCTCAGTAAAATCCTAATGAATCAAATTCAGCAATACGCCCTAAAGTTCAGAAGGACCATTTGATGGTGGAATTATAGTTGAAATTTGGAGGTGAGAAGAATATTATTATACACAAAGGAAATATTTATCTTAACTTTTGAAATTCTATAATTTTGTTATCATGAGATTCCCAAATCCATTTTGTCTACTGCTCCACTTTTGAAGTATTTCTTCCCTCAGCAGTCCACTGCAGTTCTGCCTTCATTAAACAAACAAAAAGTGCCTCCCAATCACACCAAAGGCTATCACAACTCTCCAAATGGACTGCTCTAGTAATCCCAAAGGCTATGCCAACCATCTGAAAGACTTTTGTAAACAAAGATAAATAAATATCAAGGGCAAAAGATAGAACATGTGAAATAATTATTAGAGCCATCTTTCTTTTTGCCAACATAAAACTATTACCTCCTCCAAAAATCAATACAGGGTCAATGTGAAAAATCTGCAAGACAATCATATAAGGAATGGGAAAAATATATGAATATTTACATACACACACACATATATATATATATGTTTATATATATATATATAAACCTTATACCAGATAAAATATTTTATGTGGTGAAAAAGGATCCTTCACTGTTGATAGAACATTTCCATTTAACATCTATGGGAAGTAGTATGGATAGTCCTCTAAAAAGTAACAACAGAACATAGAACTTTAATATTATCCAGCAAGTCTACTTCGTGGAATAGAAAACCAAAATATAAAAAAAGTAATTAAAAAGGCTGGGGACTGGGTAATAGTACCGTTAGTAGTGCACTTGTCTTGCATTGTGGCCCATCTGAGTTTGGTCCCTGGCATTCCATATGTAGCCAGGAGTGATCTTTGAGCACAGATCAATAAGTTGGCACAGCTGGGCATTGTCCCCAAAACAAAATAAAACAAAGATATTGTTTATTGAAGCTCTTAGTTCAATCCCAAGGTATGGAAACAATCTGATTGGAAAATGACTACTTTGTTTTGGATAAATAAGTGTGGTATTATAGATGCACAAATAATTAGCAGTTCTAAGAAAAATATGAATCATGCATTTAGTTGCAGTGTTGCAACTGGTGGGTACAATACAAAGAGGATGAGTAACAGGTGATCTCTGCTCTCTGTGGAAAATAGGCACAAAACAAGGGAGTAGAGCCATTACACAATAATAAGCCTTTGGCTTTGGATTACACAATCTATTAACTAGCTATTGGGAGGGGTGGAGGAACAAAGATCAGACTAGAGCTGACATAGGCATGGGCTGGGGAAGGGAAATGCCCTCACCTGGCCACTGAGCAGCTGCTGGAGATACTGGAGCTGGTGACTGCATATACCATCACCTTCCCAGGCTGGCTGGAGCCTCAGGAAAGGTTTTCCATGGTATTATAAACAAGTAGTTGTAGATAAAAGACACCATGGGAGGTGATAGATGTAAATCACAAGGGCTTTCCACCTCAGGCTGACCCAGGAAGAGTCAAAACACACTTACTGAGAGTAGTCCTGGGACCCAGTGTCTAAAACACCAAAGCATTAGGAATAATGTAAAAATAAAGGAACTCAGCCTTTTCAACAAAGGACGACAAAAATCCAGGTTGATTTCCAACTACTTCAGATTTTTTTAACCTGCATGAGGAAGATTTTAGAACAGTCCTATAATGTTTTGAAAAGGCATTTTAATAGCAAATCAACAAACTCGAAGAGATCCTGATGGTAAACACAAGAAAATGCAAAAAGAAAGAAAGAAACTAAAAAATGCAAGAGAAAGAATACAGAACACTTAGAAGATCAGATGGGACTTAAAATTGAATCAGTGATATACTATATGTTGGCTGCTTGCAAGGCAAACACCCTATCCACTGTGCTATCGCTCCCAGTAAGTTACCGAGAGTATCTCGCCCGCACAGCAGAGCCTGGCAAGCTACCCGTGACGTATTCAATATGCCAAACACAGTAACAACAAGTCTCATGATGGAGATGTTACTGGGCCTGATCGAGCAAATTGATGAACAATGGGAGGACTGTGACCGTGACCATGATATACTATATAGCTCAAAGATGGTATATATAGCTACTTTAATAAAGAAGAGGTAAAAAAAATGACTGAGAAAAAACTGCTATATACTGTGACCATACTAGGCTGAAAAAAATCTCAAGGTAATAAAAGAAATACCTCAAGATAACAGGAACCTCAGAAGGAGAAGAAGGAAGGAGAGTGGCTGAGAAGAATGACTGGGAAGAAATTATAGCTGAAATGTGAATGTGGTGAAAATGTAGTACCTGTTGGTGGAAATGACATCTGTTTCAACCTCTAGAAAGCAGTATGGATAGTCCCCCCAAAAATGAGACTTGAAGTTCTGTATTATCCAGAAGTCTCACTTCTTGGACTCTAACACCAAAACATGAAATCAAGGAAATATATACTATAATCAATGTATACTATAATAAATATATACTATAATCACACCCACCAACTGGCCCCCTGGCGCCGTGTAATCCCATCAGCGGCCAAGACTCTGAGACTATAAAAACCAGCTCCCGGAGGAGAAGAGCGCAGTCTCCTGCCCCCACGCCTGGCTATTCCTCGCCGGGGCCCCTTGGAGGGGAGCGGGTTGAGCTTTCCTCCCCGCCCTGGCCAAGGCCCCAGCAGCCGAAGACCTCCAGGACCAGCCACCACCATGCTGAGACCACTCTCCACACACCTGAAGGTACCGGCAGAAGGACAAAGCCACATGGGTTCTGGGGCCGAGATCTCCAAGCCTACTCAGATTGGAGTCGAGCATCCTCCATCCAGATCCTCCAAATTCCAGTAGACGGGGGTCACACCCACCAACTGGCCCCCTGGCGCCGTGTAATCCCATCAGCAGCCAAGACTCTAAGACCATAAAAACCAGCTCCCAGAACCGACATCTTATTATGACATCTCATTCCTACTTTGACAAACTGGCAGGCTACCGAATATAGCCTGCCCACATGGCAGAGTCTGGCAAACTCCCCGTGGCGTACCCAATATGCCAAATACCAGTAACAATGATAAGTCTCATTCTCCAAAAGAGCCTTGAATATAACCTCAGGGCCAGGATGAAGGAGACGTTACTGGGGCCTGCTCGAGGTAATCGACGAACAACAGGATGATTTGTGATTTTGTGATTTGTGATCAATGAAAAAGACCCTTGGCCTTGGATCACAAAGTTTATGAACAAGCTATGAGGGAGGGTGGAGGACGATCGGACTGGAGCCGACAGTCAGGGTCAGTGGTGGAAGGTCATGGACACTTTGGTGGTGGTAGGGTGCAGAAAATTTGAACATTACCATAAATTTTAACACTATTGCAACTGTTTTATTCAAACTAAAATAGAATAAACTGCATTGTAAATATAAGTAAATTGAAATCTACACGTCTGACTTGTAAATTCTACTTATGAATATTTTATTTTTTACAATATTTAAAATTTTAGAATTTACATTATTGCATTTAGTATAGAACTGTTAATATTGACAAAGTATACTTTACATATTTCAAATACATATTAAGAATTCTCTCTATTCTATCTTATATGCTAAAAGTTATTTAGCCTTAATCATTGGCTCACTTTCAGACCTGTCAATTGACAAGTCAAAATAACTGTGATTCTATCTGAATATCCCTTAATTATTTATTACAAAAATTATTTTACTTCAGAAGGAAGCAATTTTGAGTCATATTTGGATTACTTCATTTAAGCTTCAAAAACTTCCACTCATTCATTTATACATATATATATATATATATATATATATATATATATATATATATATATGGGCTGGAGCGATAGCACAGCGGGTAGGGCGTTTGCCTTGCACACAGCCAATATGGCCAACCCAAGTTTGATTCCTCCGCCCCTCTCGGAGAGCCTGGCAAGCTACCGAGAGTATCTCGCCCACACAGCAAAGCCTGGCAAGCTCCCTGTGACGTATTCGATATGCCAAGCACAGTAACAAGTCTCACAATGTTACTGAGCCCGGTCAAGCAAATCGATGAATAATGGGAAGACAGTGATACAGTGATATATATATATATATATATATATAGTGATGTATATATATATATACATGTGTGTATACACACTATATATATACACATTATGTAGTTTATATATAATGCACCATTTGCAAACAGTATTGCAACTTTGAATTCTGTAGCACTGTAGCACTATACTCCCTTGTTCATCGATTTGCCCAAGTGGGCAGCAGTAACATCTCCATTGTGAGACTTGTTTTTACTGTTTTTGGCATATCGAATATGCCATGGGGAGCTTGCCAGGCCCTGCCCTGTGAACGGAATACTCTCGGTATCTTGCTGGGCAATCCAAGAGGGATGAAGGAATTGAACCCAGGTCGGCTGCTTGCAAGGCGAACGCTCTACCCACTGTGCTATTGTTCTGTCCAACTTTGAATTCTATAAATGATAAAAGTAATTTTGGTGAGAGCAGGAAATCTCCCAAGTGGTTTTCAGGGGACCCAGAGGTTATTCCTAGTGTTTTCAAGTGAAAGAATTTAGAGGCTATGATGCTGCCTCGATGCTGGAGCAATGGCACAGAGGGACATTTGCCTTGCATGAGGATGAACAGCAGACCTGGCCGACCCAGGTTCGATTCCTCCGCCCCTCTCGGAGAGTCCGGCAAACTACCGAGAGTGTCTCGCCCATCTGACAAAGCCTGACAAGCTACCCATGATGTATTCAATATGCCAAACACAGTAACAAGAGTCACAATGGAGACGCTACTGGACCTGCTAGAGAAAATCGATGAACAACGGGAGGACAGAGCTACTGTGACAGTGATGCTGCCTCAGTTCTGCACTGCTAAGGTCCATAAAGATTATCTTGCCAGTGCTTAGGGGACTCTAGGGCTACATTCATCAGTACATTGAGGCAAAGTTCACCAGGGATCAAATTTGGATAATTGTAACTACTTAGTAAATAATTCGGATAAAAAATAGATGTAGTTTTATTTTGTGAATTTATTGATTTTATAGCTAAATATATCATTTTTAAAATGCTATTATTACCATTTAATAAAGGATAATAACCACTCTGGCTTTTTCATTATCCTTAATATTATCTACTTGTTTTTTTCCAAAATCCTTTAGCTGTCAGTGATATTCAATATAAGTAATTACAATTACATTGTGTCCTTATTATATTCTGGCATAATATACAAATTATTTAAAAATTATCAGTACTCAATTAACATTAAAATCAGCATACTTTCAGATATAATTATACATGAAGTAACTTTAAACTGCATTCATATTTGATTAATATAAATTTATTATCTAAGTACATTCCTTATGAAATCATGATTATTAAGTAGAAATCTAGTTCTAAAGGAAAAGAGGAAAATGAATTCTCAGATTATGAATTCAAGCAATTCAAGTCACTTGCTTTGCAAGTAGCCAGCCTAAATTTATTCTCAACTTGACATAAAAAGTCTTGAACACAGCTGGATATGATCCATATCTTAGCCCCAACACCCTGCCCCTCCAAAATAAAACAGTAACTATATTTAAAGTAACAATATTATGAATAAAGTTATGACTAGAATAAAATTAATAAAACAAATCACCTACCTTTGCACTAGATTGATTGTATATTCTTTTCCATCAATTGTAATTCTGTAGGACAGCTTAAAGTAGATTTAAGGACAAAATATAAGAAAAATATTACAAGACAAAAAATATTGTTTATCAATGGCAGCTATGTTCTAAGGAACACATGATTTAGTAATGACTTTAACATAACATATTGTCTTTGTATAGTTACTGAGATCAGGAGGTGATATGAACAAATGATCAATTTAGCATTTATAAGTTACCAGGGCAACATTAGATCTTTAACTATTGGATCTTGCAATTCATGAGTATGGAATACATTTGATTTATTTAGGAATTTTGTTTCCTTTGGTCTTGTTGTCTTCAGTAAAAAAGGTTTGTGTATCTTTATTAGATTTATTTATATGTTTACCTAATATACTACAAATGTTATCTTTCAAATATATAATTTTATATTTTCAAAATTGAAATAAGCCAGCTTTGTATTTTGATCTGTCTTCCAGAGAACTGACTATATTCTAATTTTTATATTCTGTAGTTTCGGAAATCCCAGCAAGCTACCGACAGTATTCCGCCCTCACGGCAAAGCCTGGAAAGCTCCTTGGGGCATATTCGAAAGTTACTTATACATGAAGTAACTTTAAACTACATTCATATTTTATTAATGCAAAAACAGTAACAAGTCTCACAATAGAGATGTTACTGGTACCCGCTCGAGCAAATCGATGAACAATGGGAGGACAGTGCTACAGTGCTATTTTGAATTATATCTTAAATTCAATTGTTTCATCTACAATTATTATCCTATGCATCACAAAAATAATGTACTATGAATTCCTTCCATTTATTATGATCATTCTTTATTTCTTAACTATCATGAGTAGTATTCTTATTAAATAAAAATAGTATTAGTGGGAATTCTTCTTTTTCTTGATCTCAGGAGGAAATTTTTCAGTATTTCAACTTTATACATGATATACTTATAGATGATGTATACAACAACATTTGAATTTCTATACATATCATGATAGCCTTTCTTTACAGGGGGTGTGAGGAAAGTGTTTGGGCCTCCCCTGGCAGCTCACTTGGTTCCTGCTCTGTGTTCAGGATTACCTGGTGAGGCTACCAGGACCTTCTCAGATGCAAAGATTGAACCCGAGCCATTTGCAGGGCAGCTCCTGACCCGCTGGAGTTCTCTCCAGCCCCGTCATGGTAGTGTTTATTAGTGTATGTTATCTTTTATATATTAGGATAAATAATAGCACTGTAGCACTGTCCTCCCATTGTTCATTGATTTGCTCGAGTGGGCACCAGTAACGTCTCTGTTGTGAGACTTGTTACTGTTTTTGGTATATCTAACACGCCATGGGGAGCTTGCCAGGCTCTGCTGTTTGGGTGGGGTACTCTCGGTAGCTTGCCAGGCTCTCCAAGAGGAAAGGATAAATAGACATTAAATAAAATTACATAAAATACCTCCAATGTTTATTTTGTAATGTAAAATATTACAAGAATCTACTCATCATTCTTACAAATACGTTTATATTTGCAGTAACGTATTTCAGTGTGATTTTATTTTGCAGAGCTTTTAACTATATTTCTTGTTGTTTGTTTTTTGGACACTACCCGGAACGCACAGGGGCTCTTTGTGGCCCTGCAGTCACCCCTGCTGGTGCTCAGGGGACCATATAGGATGCCAACAAGCAAAGTCAGGTTCCACATCTTCCCCTCTCCCCCACTTAATCCACCTTCTTCCCACCACTTGGCAACCTCAGTTCTATTTCCCAAATTTAAAGACTTGCCATCAGATGCTCTACATTTCAGATTTTTAAAATTATTCAGATATATTATTCATTGCTAACATAATTTATAGCTTTATTTTTAATCATACCTGTGTAGTATTTTTGACAAAACAAAATTATCCTAAATAGATTTTTATCTTCTAAATAATATTTGCTTGCAACATATTGGAGAAAGGTACATATATTTTTATGCTTACGGTCTTTTATATCAGTATACATATATTCATACTATCATGTATATAAACATATATATTTATGTGTATATATAAGTCTGTATGTTTCTTATTTTTGTTCATTTAGTCTCATATTTTTGTTCTCTTCTTTTATTCCTTTCCCTTATCTTTTTCCAAAAGTATAATATCCATTATAACACTGGAGAAAACAATACCATAATAGTCATTAATCTTTCACTAGTAATATTCAAAGAAATTTTTATATATCCTATTACTTTTATTATTAGATATGAAATGTGGCATAGATTTAAAAGTCATTAGATTACTCTGCTTTTTAAAATATTGAACTTTGATATATCTAGTTCCAATGTTCTGTGTATATTCATTTCTTCATTTAATTTCATAAAATAGCTATGTCATTAATAAATCAAAATTCAATTATTTTAATATGAATGTAAATTTTGTTTTTTCATTAGTTATTTTTACAAATTTATTTTTGATCATATTTTTAATTTATGAAATATATTAAGTAAACTTTGCTCGAGCGGGCCCAGTAACGTCTCCACTGGAGACTTTGTTGTTACTGGGCTGGAGCGATAGCTCAACGGGTAGGGCGTTCGCCTTACACGCGGCCAACATGGCCGACCCGAGTTCGATTCCTCCACCCCTCTCGGAGAGCCCGGCAAGCTACCGAGAGTATTTGATATGCCAGACACAGTAACAACAAAGTCTCCAATGGAGACGTTACTGGGCCCGCTCGAGCAAATCGACGATCAACGGGAGGGCCTTTACCTTTACCTTTATTAAGTAAACTTAGGGTTCAAGTTTTCTTTTAAAACCTTAAATTATTTTTGGTATCATTATTTTATCGATTTCATAATATCTCTTATATATGTCTCTTCACTGAAATAGGTTTCCCAAGTCATAATTATAATATTATATTCTTTATACGTGAATTCATTTATTTATAAAATCATTAGGCTATGTTTTTTAATTTTAGTTATATTTGCCCTTATTAAAGAGAGGGAATTTTTTTTTCTTTTTGGGTCACACATAGCAATGCTCAGGGATTACTCCTGGCTCTGCACTCAGGAATTAATCCTGGTGGTGCTCAGGGGATCATACGGGATGCTGGGAATCGAACCTGGGTCAGCGGCATGCAAGGCAAACGCCCTAACCACTGTGCTATTGCTCCAGGCCCAAAGAGAGGAAAAATTTTAAGTAAAAGTTCAAATTATTTAAAATCTTATACAGTTTCTTATTCCCTTGTTGTTCATAAGTTTTAAAAATTACTTTTATAAAATAATTTTATTGAAGTAATAATGCCTTATAACATGTTTTGGGTATACATCCTTATACACATCCTTTAAATTGCTTATCTTCACATTTTAAAAACTTTTTGGCAACACATTTTTTCACTGGAGTATTCATTTTACAGTTTTGTATCATTGTCCATGTTATTCAAATAATAATTTTGTTTTTACTTTTTATCATTTTCTTAAAGACCATTTTTGCTAATGGCTACAAAATCTAACTGCTGCTTACTTACATGTGATTTTTTCCCGTATTTTTGTGCCCAACCTTATTTTCCTTGTGATTTAGCTGTTTCTCATATAGTTTTATTTTATTTAATTATTTTGGTTGGGGGACACACACTGCTCTGCTCAGGGATTAATCCTGCCTCTGTACTCAAGGATCACTCCTGATGGGCTCTGGGAACCATATGGAGAATAGGGGATTGAACTGGGCTCAGCTACATGCAGGTCAAATACCTTGCCTGCTGGATTGTCTCTCTGGCCCTCATATAGCTATATTTTTAAATCCACCTGAAAATTATTAATTATTGATAGCTTGTATTAAAATTTTACTTGTTGATTCTGTTTTATTTTGATTCCCTAGTGGACATAAACTTACATCTCATTCTAATATTTTATTAGTCACGGTCACGGTCCTCCCATTGTTCATCGATTTGCTCGAGCGGGCCCAGTAACGTATCCTTCATGAGACTTATTGTTACTCTGTTTGGCAAATCATATAAGTCACGGGTAGCTTGCCAGGCTCTGCCGTGCGGGCAAGATACTCTCGGTAGCTTGCCGGGCTCTCCGAGAGGGGTGGAGAAATCGAACTCAGTTTTTATTTTATTAGTAATATATTATTTTATTAGTAATATAATTATATATTTGATTTGTGTTATGTTCACTATGTTTTTATCCAGATCCTGCTTTTGCAGGAATAATTTCTATAAAAATTAAGACAATATATTTTAGAAAACATATCTTATTTAGAACTAACAAGACATTATATTTTAAAAAAACCAACCAAAGTAACATGAACTGAGATGAAATAAGAACACAACAAATGAACAAAATAATAAAGTATTTTCAACTGAAATGCAAAAGTTGTTCCTATAACAGCTCATAATAACATAATCATGTCTTAAAGGAGGCCATCGATTAACAGCAGCACCGCCCAAAAAGTAGTTTGAGCTGTGAAAGAGAGAAATTTTTCTCCGTATATTAGCTCAATTATTTAAAGCCGCTCAAGAGAAAAACAGCCAGTTTTACAAAGATGGGGTTCGAGATTTTGAAAATGAACATCACTACATCATAGTTCTCTGAAACACTGCTTGTCTCCTTTAATCTTCAAAGGTGCTCCCACTTAAGAGAAACTAGATAATAAATGCCCAGCAAACATGCTTATATAATAACGCCAGCTTATGCCTAGGGACAACATGTTCACATGATTTTATTGTGACAAATGTTGGTACTTAATTACTTGTGATTCAACTCCCCCAACTATCGTGGACTGAATTCTCTTTGGTACTGTAATTTGCACACGTAGTCTTTCAGAACCTAGAGGACACAGGACATTTTTTTTTTAGAGTGGTCATTATTACTTCATAGCTTTCTTCATTACTTGCACATCTAAATCCCTCCATCACTCTCCTCTTCCCGTTCCCTTCTTCTCTTTCCCTTCTGCCCTTTCCCTTTCCTTTCCCTCCCTTCCCTCTCCCCCCCCCCCCATTTCCTTCCCCTTCCTTTTCTTCTTCCTTCTCTCCCTCCCTTCCTTCCTTCCTTTGCTCAGGGCTTACTAGGGCTCTGGCAGGACTTTCCCTGCTGGCACTCAGGGGGCTATGGGGAACTGGGGTGGAACCTGAGTTTGCCCTGTGCCTGGCAGATTCCCTACCCTTCCAAACACCGCCACCCCCCTTTCTTTAAGTTGCAAGGCTTTTCAGAGAAATACATGGACCACGTCATGTTGGTACAGTGTCAGACGGTCACCCTGATTCAGGAGGCTCCAGCCATCTCAGCTGCTTTGTGCGGGCCCCACCCCGCGGTGCCCCGAGTCCGGGGTTCTGTCCTGGGTAACCACCGCAGACACTGCCCAGGGACTACGGGGTACCGCGGGGTTGGTGCCAGGCCGGCCTCTGTCTGCCCCCAAAAGCTCAAGAACTTGAAAACAAACACACAGAAACCCCCTAAGTTCAAGCAAGAGACTAGAAGGTTAAACACGCAGTGGGAGGGACAGCAGCTTTACTCCACCTGACTACGGCCCCTTCTTTCACGGGGTCCCCAAGAAGCGGGAACTCCTGCCTAGGAAGTGTGGGTCTCACGAACCGAATCCAAGAGGATGCCTCTCAGGAATATTCTGGGCCCCATTGGAGGATGCCTCTCAAGAATATTCTGGGACCCCAGGAGGATGCCTCTCAGGAATATTCTGGGCCCCCCAGGAAGACACCTCTCAGGAATATTCTGGGACCCCAGGAGGACGCCTCTCAGGAATATTCCAGGACCCCCAGGAAGACACCTCTCAGGAATATTCCGGGCCCCCCAGGAAGAAACCTCTTAGGAATGTTCTGGGACCCCAGGAGGATGCCTCCTGGGAAAATTCTGGGGCCCCCAGGAAGACACCTCTCAGGAATATTCAGGGAACCCAGAAGGACAACTCTCAGGAATATTCTGGGACCCCAGGAGGACGCCTCTCAGGAATATTCCGGGACCCCCAGGAAGACACCTCTCAGGAATATTCTAGGACCCCAGGAGGATGCCTCTCAGGAATATTCTGGGACCCAGAAGGACGCCTCTCAGGAATATTCTGGGACGCCCAGGAGGACGCCTCTCAGGAATATTCTGGGACCCCAGGAGGACGCCTCTCAGGAATATTCTGGGACCCCAGAAGGACGCCTCTCAGGAATATTCTGGGACCCCAGGAGGACGCCTCTCAGGAATATTCCGGGACCCCCAGGAAGACACCTCTCAGGAATATTCTGGGCCCCCTTGGAAGACACCTCTTAGGAATATTCCGGGCCCCCCAGGAAGACACCTCTCTGGAATATCAAAACAAGCTGAGAATTGGCATCTGGGACAAGTGAGAGTAGGATTTTCTTTACGCACTGTAGCCCATATGGAGACAGTCGAAGCCAGTGACCAGAAAGAGAAAAAACAACATTGTGGATGGCTGCCCGCCGCAATAACTGGCAGTTGGCTTGGCTGGAGGACAGTTGGAAGCGCGTGGAGACCGAGTCCCAGGAACCCTCGGGAGAAAGGAACTACCAGGGCACAGAAGGGTCAAAAGGGTCTGTGGGGTCCTGCCGCACGGGACCGCTCATGCCACAGCCACACGGAGTCGCACATGGTCTGCAGGCACTGCAATAAGGGGTCGCGCATGGTCTGCAGGGTACTGCCAGACAGGGCCGCGCATGATCTGCAGGGGACTGTCGCACGGGGCTGGGCATGGTCTGCAGGGCACTGCTGCTCTGAGCCACGCTAGACCCTAATTAATTCCGTGGAGGAGAGCTGGACTCTGTCTGATGATGCTGTTGTGCTTTCAAAGGAGATGTCGCTTATGAAGGGCAGTGCGGAGGAAATACGAACAGGTTCACGCGTATTTCTTACACTTTTAATTGCATTTATACACATACAGACTTCAGATTGTGGGATCACAGGTCAACTATTAGCCAAAGGAGCAAACCAGCATAGTCAGTAGCAAGGTCATGTCAAGAAATAAAGTATAACAATAACGGAAGCTGGAGTAGAGAGAGCCGGGGAGTTGGGGAGCCACTCAGGCGGGCCACAGCATATGGCAGGACAACACTGATTCCTGAGCAAAGAGCTCGGACTACTCCCTGAGCACTTCCAGGAGTGCCCTGTCACTTGATCACTTGGTCACTTGACATTCTGTTACTCATGGATTTGCTCGAGTGAATGCCAGTAACAGTTCCTGTCACAGTGCTAGTGTAGCCCAACGGTGTCTGCTCGCTCCAGGAACAGGAAGAGCCTCAAACATCTTCAGGGTCTTGAAGAAGTCTGGCCATCTCATAGGTGGGCGGCCAGGGGATCTTTTGATATCACATGGAATCCAGTCAACTAGATTCCACGAGTGCTCTGTAAATAAATAAAATACAGAATGACTGAAGCCCCCACAAAGCCTACTGACAAACCTTCCTTCATTGAATGGATTATTTATTTTTAAATAATTTTATTTTTTATTTTATTTTATTTTGCTTTTTGGGTCATACCCAGCGATCCTCAGGGGTTCCTCCTGGCTCTGCACTCAGGAATTACTCCTGGCAGTGCTTGGGGAACTATATGGGAAAGCTGGGGATCGAACCTGGGTTGGCCATGTGCAAGGCAAAAGCCCTACCCACTGTGCTATCACTTCAGCCCCACTCATCTCAAAGGAGTGCTCTTTTGTGGGGGGAGTTCATTTTTGAGAGAACGTTATATTTCATTTTATTTTTACATATTGTCACTATGTACTCTTTATTTTTAAAGTATTTTACTGTGATAATTACAATATACTTTCACGTTGAATAGTAATAGTTTTGGTATTGTCCTTGTTTATTTTAACTAATTTTAACAGTATCTGCTTTTTTCTTTTGCTGTTGAGCAACGTTCATTTAATTTATCCTTGCAGCTATTAAAATCACATTCAGATATTTTATTTCTTATACAGATTATTTAATGTGCAGATGTAGTGATCTCTATTTGGTATACTCCTACAGTGAAGTTACTGCACTTCCAGAGTTTTCCAATACTTGTATCCATACCAGAAAAACAAGAAACTTCTCCATATCTATCTTATACTTATTTTTGTTTTATGTTTATTTTCTTGGTTGATGATCTTCAAGCAATTCTCAGGAGTCCTGGCAGGCACAGCGCAAAGACAGGGTTGGGAGATGTACTGCTCCTTTTTGCACTTAGTACTCATAGATCAGGGCTTTCTCTGGAAATAGCAGGGTAAGCTAAGCATTGCCAGGGTTCAGCTGGTTCTTACTGCATGCAAGGTAGAGCCCTTGATACCTGAGCTATCTCCTCATCCCTGCTGTTATTCTTATGCTATTATTATTATTTGTTGCACACTTGGATGTGTTCAGGGCTTGCTTTTGGGTTTGTGCTGAGATATCACTCATGCTGGACCCAGGGGAACATATTTGGTTCCAGGGATTAAACTTGAATGCGGTCTCTGTAGAAAAGCACCTTGCCCACCCTACTACCTCTCCAGACCAAATTCTGTTCCTCTTTAAAATTTTTTTTTTAAAATGAATTCCCGTGAAATACACAGTTACAAAGGTGTTTAGTTTCTGTCTTACAATGTCTCAACACTCATCTCTTCACCAGTGTACATTTTCTGCCACCAATACCAGCATAGCGGGTAGGGCGTCTGCCTTGCACGCAGCCAACATGGCCGACCGGAGTTTGATTCCTCCGCCCCTCTCGGAGAGCCCGGCAAGCTACCGAGAGTATTCGATATGCCAGACACAGTAACACCAATACCAATGTCCAGAATATTCCTCCCGCTCCTAGTCTGTCATTTGGCAGATACTCTCTCTCTCTCTCTCTCTCTCTCTCTCTCTCTCTCTCTCTCTCCCTTTCTCTCTCTCATTAGGTACTATGACTTGCAATACTGTTACTGAAAGGGTATCATGCATTATCATGCATATCACTTTACCTCATTTCAGCACTCAGTTCTTGTCCAGAAAGATCATTTCCAATTATCATTGTCACGAGTGATTCCTTCTCTGCCCTAACTGCTCCCCTGAACCCCTTCCCCACCATGTTTAGGCAAACTTTCAACTATGGATAAGTCTTTCTGGCCCTCTTTTGGGGGATATTATTCTCATAAGATATATATCACTAATAAGATAAATATTATAAGATATTTATATATATATCTTATAAGATATATCCATATTCTGAAAATGAGTGTCATCATTCTATATCTGTCCCTCTCCTTCTGACTCATTGCACTTAGCATAATATCCTATATTTTTACTTTGTTTTTGAGCCACATCAAGTTGTGCTCATGGGCTATTACTGCCTATGTGATCCAGAAGGACTTCTGACTCTCCTTGAGTCAGTATTGAGTCACACCAATAAATGTGGTGCTGGATATTTAAACTGGAGGTTTAAATTCTTGCATACAAGAACACCTTACCTATTGTACTATCTCTTCATCTCCTCAGCCCTCCTCAATGCAGTTTATAATTTTTATTTCATTTTTATAATTTTTTAAAAAAATTTTATTAGTGAAACACCATAAAGTACAGTTGTAGACTTACAAATTTTTGTGCTTGAGTTTCAGTTATACAGTGATCAAGTACCCATCCCTCCACCAGTGCCTATTCTCCACCACCTTGCATTCTAGTTTTAATTTGTATTTTCATGTTTTTGGATTCACAAAAATAGTTTGATGGTTGGTCTGGAGCAATAAATAGCACAGCGGATAGGGCATTTGCCTTGCAGGTGGACGACCTGGGTTCGATTCCTCCATTCCTCTCAGAGATCCTGGCAAGCTACTGAGAATATCCTGCCCACATGCCAGAGCCTGGCAAGCTCCCTGTGGCATATTCAATGTGCCAAAAACAGTAACAACAGGTCTCACAATGGAGACATTACTGGTGCCCGGTTGAGCATATAGATGAACAATGAGAGAACA